ACGAATGGCGATTAGGCCATCAATGTTGATGATAAGCTTAATGGCCTGATTAATCAAAGGAAGTTTCGTTAGAAAACTTCCGACTTACGGACGATTGTCACTGCCAGCATTCTCACCATCATGTCAATCACATCATCATGTCAACCATCCACATCATCATCAAGTAGTTGGGAAGTGTAACAGGTCGGGAACGCATGAATTCAGGTTTGAAAAGATTCTCGGGCACGAAACCCAGTGTTTTGTTCGGGTAAAGTGGCTTCCCGGGTCTCTGTTTCCGCGGTTGCGGGCTTCGATCTGCAAGAGTTGCCGACACAAAGTGCACAGGACTGTAGGGAGAGTTCGGTTTGCACTTGAAAATGTTAAAAGACTGTCACGGTCGGACCACTTTTGGACCATGAGGTCGACAAAATGCGCACGAGACTGTAGCGCGAGCTCGATTTCACATAAAACTCGTTAAAAAAAAACAAACTGGGGCGCCCGAAGCTGGTTTGGAAGATGAGGCCGGCAAAATGTGCACAAACCTGTAGCGAGAGCTCGATTCCACATAAAAATCGTAAAAAACTGAGGGTTTCAGAGCACATTTGAAAGATGAGGTTGGCAAATTTCGTTGATTCATTCAATCATTTATTTCATTCAGTCATTCATTCATTTATTCACTTCATTCCTTGCATGTCATTTCATTTTATTCATCTCATTTCATTTCATTTCATTTCAATTCACTTGTTTCCAGCTCACCAAATAATTCCTATAAGCAAACCGGTTCCTATAGCCATGCCCTGTTTTCGAAACTTCCACCCCTGCGCATCCGGGCACTACCAAGTAGCTGATCATTGATGGAGTAATGATATACATTAATGGGTGTGTATGTGGGTTCATGATACTAGATTAATGGTATATAAAAACCTTTCTTATCATAACCCATTGCTGGATAGCCCATGATGTGGGAGTATAATAATCCAATAATTGGTGTACTGGATGTAGAATGGTTTACAAGAAACCTAGCATCAGAAAAGTTACAGATACATGAGGATAGTTAGATGGGCGCATCGCAGTTTGAAAGCCAACTCGAGGTTTATTGTGAATGGGTTCCCTTCTGGCAATCTAAACAGTTACATGAGGATAATTAGACGCGCGCATCCCAGTTTAAAAGCCAACTCGGGGTTTATTGCGACTGGGTTTTCCTTCTGGCAATCAAGGACAACTCTGGAAATTGGCTATGTTTCATGGGCAAGCCACCTACACATGAGTAATGTTCAATGGCTACTTTGAATCACCAGAGGGTACCAACAGCTTGCAACCATGGTTACAATCCAATTACAACATAGGTCGTTGGCCATGGATTGGTTATAGTTTTGACACCCAAAATTCGTAGAATGGGGTAGAATGGGATGGTTAATTCTCGGTTTTATCACATTAATAACACAATACACCATAGCATACCTGGGTAATATGTAACCATACTATACCCCAATTATACATAGAACATCTCCTATATGTGGTTCATGAACACGTTATCCTTGTGTCACTTCCAGTCACCTCGCAGGAAAGCTTCCCTGAGACCGTGCCCGATTCACCGCGCGACAAAGTTGCGCCTCCAGCGGAGCCTCCAACGGAGCTTTCTGAGGCAGCCCAGGCGAAGCGATGGACTGATTTAATGGAGTTTAACCATCAAAAATTGTGATTTTATGGGGTTGGACCATAAAAAGATTGTGATGTCATGGGATGTGTATATGTTTTTTTACGGGTGTCCTAAAGAAATTTCAATACAGTATCGCCAAGTTGGGTTTACTATTGGATAATACGGTATACCCCTAGTAATGGGGTGGTGTAAAAGGACCCTTTGATGGATGGCTACACATTATCTATCAGTAAGGAAACCCCTAAGTACCCTCTGTAGCGGAGTAATTGTAATGGGGGTATTTTGCTGGATATTTTTTGGCAACATAGTGAGATGCACATGGATGTACAACGTATACAACCAACGACCATGATCTGGCCAACCCCAACAAGCATCTATAAATGGCTAAAAATTGTGGTATAGAACCAACCATAGCATTTATGAAGGGAGATCAAGGTTTTGGGGTTGAGCGTATTAAACATCAACAATCACTATTTTGCGGGCTTATTGAGCAGCTATTGGAGGGGGGGACCTTTGGATGCAAAAAGGGTCTTTCGATAAGTGATGGACATGGTTGGTTTTACACCTTCATCCAAAGTAAATAGATGTATAAATTTAATGCACTGCTATGGCATGCTACGGGGTTTTCCCTTTTGGATAAGTAACAACCGTTAGTAAGCAAATGGCAGTGATAAACCATCAAAGCTCGAATATTGGAAGAATCCCTCTAAGTTCTCGCGGCCTCACTGGCCAACTTCACTAGAAAAATATGCTTAGGATTGCGGAGGATCGGGCAGAATCATCTCCAAAATTGTTGTTTCTGGTTTGTGAATTGTGGTAGTTGCACTTGAATGGTCCAAAGTGGGGTCACGGGGTCGCTCACGCATGCGTTTTGCAGGGTCGCTCACGCATGCGTTTTGGGGTCGCATACGCATGCGTTTTGCTTCATATGTGGCGTTTTGCTATCTAGAAGTGTGCATAGCGGTGAGGTCGCACATGCATGCGTTCTCACATACATCATATCATCAAAGGAAGTTGGGAAGCAGTTACGGACAAATAGAATTGTGATGAAGGGTGGTGTGAAACTTTACACTACATAACAATACATCACAAAAGAATTGACCTTGATGAAGGGTGGTATGTGGCGCATGCATGCGTTCTCACATACATCATATCATATCATATCTCACACGGGGATACATAGCACCGACACACAGCAACACAGAGACGCGACGCATACATACACACGTACCTACATTCATGCACACAGATGTATGTACATGAGTCGCTATGTAGCATACTTGCTTCATCCCTTCATTGTATTTTTCATTCATATATATGACTCTTTACGGTGAGACCCCGGCAAGAGTCTATAAAATATGTGAATATATCCCATCATTGTTACGGTCACTCATATATATGACTTTACAGGGAGCTGGGAACGGTGAGACCCCAGCAAGAGTCGATAAAATTTATCAATCCATCTCATCATCACGCTAATGTCTTGACGCTTTGCAGTCTCTTGTATTTTTCACACATGCATACCTTTGTACATACAGAGACGCAGCAGTACAGACATACACACACACACACCGACAAACATACCTACACGTATAAACGCACACCAACATACATGAAAACAAACACACACACACACACGTACAGACAATAGTTGAAAAACAGTGCATTTCTGCATCTTGGCGTTAGGTTCGCGTGCGTGGTGCGCTAGAATCCCAGACAATAGTTCACTTGTACATTTGGAGAAAGGTGTCAGAGAACGGAGTAAAGAAAAAAGAAGGTCCGTTGTAGAAGACTTGGGCCGATGAGCGGGGGAAACGCAGCAGCAGAGAGAGAAAGGAGCACAGAATGGAGCACAGCCAAGCTGACAAAGAGCCCTATGCAGACTCCCGTTTTGGAGGATTTGGGCAGCTGAGCGGCCTAGACGAAGCACCCTATAGAGAGAAACCACATGGGGAGGTCCATTTTGCCGGATTCGGGCAGCCCAGAGGGCAACACGGAGCACGAGACGCACTGCCAAGAAGACAATGAGCATAACAGCGGAGAAGGTTACCCTAACCCACCCCACACCACCCCACCCCAACCAAAGCCCGACCCCAGCTCAGTGCGTGTGTTTGCAAGCGAAACTGAACGTTATTACCCCACCCCACCCCACCCCCTCCAACAACTCTGTAACATAAAGTGGTGTGTGTTCAGGGTGGTTGTGGGTTCATTAATGAAAACGCCTGTGCGTGTGTGTGTGTGTGACCCTACTTTCGCCTGTGCGTGTGACTCAAAAACGCCTGTGTGTGTGACTCAACTTTCGCCTGTGTGGATGACCCTAACACCCCAAAGTGGTGCCATCCATTGTTTTTGTAGTTTCCATGATTTCTCTCCAAAATTTCCACTGTTCTTGCAAATGATACGGGTTTGTCAAAAAAACTACCTTCCAAACCCATTGGTTCATCACCGTTTTCCGGACGAAATTTGCACTTTGATTTAGCAAATGGATATCCCGTTTTATTCCCCAATTGTCACCATTTAAATATGGCAGTGTGTCAAAACCTTGTACCCCTGGTGAACATCAAAATAGCTGGGTTAAAATGGATGTTCATCCCACTAAAAATGCTATGAAAATAGGTATTGACCCATAGCCATATACCCCATGTTCCGACAGCTAGCCCCTTTTCCCGCCAGGCTGAGCCCGGCACATCGCCGAACAACCGCGGCTCGCCGCACTCGCTCTTCGGCTACGCCACAATGCTGTTGGGCCTGCAGGGCACCGAATGAGTCAAGCGACCCGTGGGGACAGCGGCTAGTTTTCGAACAAATATGGCAACATGGATGGTAAATGGTTGATCAATTGTGATGACATTGAGTTTTCAGAACATGTCGGAACTAGTGGTACCACTGGGAATACATGCGCAAGAGTTTTGCCATGTTTTGCCACTTTTTTATACGTTCAACGGAAAGATGCCAGTGAAGATATGTAAAGATCTCATGTGAATCCTGCTGGCCCAGTCGCAGATGCTTTCGGCCGCATCCAGATAGGATTTCACGGCGGTCGACCCAAAGATTTCTGCAGTTTAATTCGATCGATGATACGTGGGGTGCGCAGCGATGCAAAAAGAATCGCTTGGAAAGATGGTTCTGCACATGCAGAGGTTCTAAGAACCAAGTGTTGTTGCCACACTTCTTGAGTGAAAATGTGAAGAACATTTGCACCTTTCACATCAATTTCAATCCTCTCCCGGTTTCAGTCGCATGTTTCTCCAAGTTGCTGGTTAAACACACATTTCCGTCCAGGTTTGATGGTGAAACCACCAGTTTTGACAGGGAAGGCATGTTTCATCACCGAATTCACCAGGCCTTGGAGCCCTTGCCCAAAGCACAAAGCCGCAGCCCCTCTCAGGTGGGCGAAGATTTGGTGTGGTGAATTTCATTGTGGTAAACCATACCTGAGTGATATGTGGATTTGTTTGCACATTATGGCAAAAAACTGAAACCTAGTGGTTTAGCACCATTGTCGCTATGAAACAGCAATTTTGGGGAGATAACCTATTTTCAGACCCATCCATGTATGTTCAACACCGGTTTTCTTGATACGCCTTGGAAGATTGCGTGATCAGAAGCGGTTCGGATTGAGGAGAAAAAATATGAAAAAATTATGTATCGGTTTGTAGGGCAATTTGAAAAGAGTGACGTTTTTGTTGGCTGTACGGCATCAAAAGAAATTCCCTTGGAATTTACAGGTAGGAGAAACCCTGGTTTTCTGCCAGTGTTGACTTGAACGAAGCCAGTGACCAAGATCGTTTCATGCTGTTGTAACTACATCTTGCACCACTGTCAGTAGGATGGGAGAAGCTCTCCATGTAGCAGTGCCACATGCGTTCCGATTGGAACCGCACGGAACGCACTGATAGTGATCCAACAAGCCGCATTGACTTCAGCTCGGATCAGCAGTGCTCCAGACCCCCAGTGGTTGATACCTATAACAGGTTATATTACTTGGTGTCATAGGTATTTGTACAATCATCATCCAATTTGAAAACCAGGTAGCTCCTGGTACTAGTTTGCGTCATTAGGTAGTTCAGAATTGTAGCTTGATAATATCCCACTAGCTGAAATAATCACTAACCAACCATCACTAATCCATCATATCCACATGTTTGATGGTTTACCGGTCATAACCAGGTACCTTTCTGCAAACTAATCTAGGTGTGGTGTTTACCCACCATGTGTAGATTCTTTTCCGAACGGGAAACCATGGGGTTCCACATCCATGCAAGTTTACCCTAGGGTAAATCATCATCAAATTTGTTAATTTGTTCGGCCGTCTGGTGATGACGATCAAAAGTCCAGGAACGGCGTGCCCATGAAGGAGCAGTGGAGGTGGGGATTCGACAGATTCCAGCGTGGCAAATTGGGTGTTTCTGAAAATGAATTATACCCCTCAATGACAGCAATATTAATACGGAAAATGATGAGAAACAATGCGATTTGGATTTTTTTGGGGGTAATGTAAATTCTTCAAGTAGAGCAAGTTGATGGATTCAGAGAGTTTTCAGGTTCCATACCTGAAGATGACGGTTTGAAGCCTGGTTTCAGGCGAGACATCGACGGAAAGTGGACCAGCTTCAGTTGCTTCCTCAGATTGGCTAGGGCATCCTGCAAACATCACTGGTTTTTCTTGGTCAAAAGTTGACCATGAAATAGCCGTGCATCAAGTGAGAGGTCAGATCAGGTCAGCCAGATTAACATACGAGGATCTTTGTGTGGTAAAGCACACCATGTGTAGTCCATGATGGAAGGTTCACTGTCTATTTGTCAAACCTGGCAATGGAAATTCCCTAGCTTATGGCTGATTGTCCTCTATGTCCTTTAGAAAACAAGATGAAGCCCACGAACCCGAATGCTCACACGTATGTTAATGGTACAGATGTCAAAACACATGGTTTTGCAGTCACGCACAATACCTTTCTGCAATAGTTTATTTGAACAGTCTTGTACATGTTTCCCTTGTTACCAGTCTGCAGTGTGGAGTGGAAAGTGTAGAGGGTAAAGTAAGGAGTGTGGAGTGTAAAGTGTAGAGTGGGGAGTGTAAAGTGTGTAAAGTGTAGAATGCGGAGTGTAAAGTGTAGAGTGTGGAGTATGGAGTGTAAAGTGTAGAGTGTGGAGTGTAGAGTGTGGAGTGTGGAGTGTAGAGTGTGGAGTGAGGAGTGTAAAGTGCAAAGTGTGGAATGTGGAGTGTGGAGTGTAAAGTGAGGAGTGTAAAGTGTGGAGTGAGAAGTGTGGAGTGTAAAAAGAGGAGTGTAAAGTGAGGAGTGTGAAGTTTGTAAATTGTAGAGTGTGAAGTGTAGAGTGTAAAGAGTAGAGTGTAAAGTGTAGAGTGTGGAGTGTAGAGTGTAGCGTGTGGAGTGTGGAGTGGAAAGTGTAGAGTGTGGTGCGTAGAGTGTGGAGTGTGGAGTGTAAAGTGTGGAGTGTAGAGTGTGGAGTGTGGAGTGTAAAGTGTAGAGTGTGGAGTGTAAAGTGTGGAGTGTAGTGTGGACTGAGGAGTGTAAAGTGGAAAGCGTGGAGTGTAAAGTGTAGAGTGTGGAGAGTAGAGTGTTTAGTGTAGAGTGTAAAGTGTGGAGTGTGGAGTGTAAAGTGTGGAGTGTAAAGTCTAGAGTGTGGAGTGTGGAGTGTAAAGTGTTCAGTGTACAGTGTGGAGTGAGGAGTGTAAAGCGTGGAGTGTAAAGTGTGGAGTGTGGAGTGTAAAGTGTGGAGTGTGGAGTGTAAAGTGTGGAGTGTGGAGTGGAAAGTGTGGAGTGTAAAGTGTGGAGTGAGGAGTGTGGAGTGTAAAGTGTGGAGTGTGGAGTGTAAAGTGTGGAGTGAGGAGTGTAAAGTGTGGAGTGTGGAGTGTAAAGTGTGGAGTGTAAAGTGTGGAGTGTGGAGCGTAAAGTGTAGAGTGTGGAGTCTGGAGTGGAAAGTGTAGAGTGTGGTGTGTAGAGTGTGGAGTGTGGAGTGTAAAGTGAGGAGTGTGAAGTGTGGAGTGTGGAGTGAGGAGTGTAAAGTATAAAGTGTGGAGTGTGGAGCGTACAGTAAAGTGTGGAGTGTGGAGTGCGGAGTGTGGAGTGGAAAGTGTAGAGTGTGGAGTGTAAAGTGGGGAGTGTAGAGTGTGGAGCGAGGAGTGTGGAGTGTGGAGTGTAAAGTGTAGAGTGTGGAGTGTGAAATGTGGAGTGGAAAGTGTAAAGTGTGGTGTGTGGAGTGTGGAATGTGGAGTGTGGAGTGTGAAATGTAAAGCGTGGAGTGTAGTGTAAAGTGTAGAGTGTGGAGTGTAGAGTGTAGAGTGTAAAGTGTAGAGTGTAAAGTGTAGAGTGTGGAGTGTAGAGTGTAAAGCAACGAGTGTAAGGTGTGGAGTGAGGAGTGTAAAGTGTGGAGTGTAAAGTGTGGAGTGTGGAGTGGAAAGTGTAGAGTGTGAAGTGTGGGGTGTAAAGTAAGGAGTGTGGAGTGTAAAGTGTGGAGTGTAAAGTGTAGAGTGTGGAGCGTAAAGTGTAGAGTGTGGAGTCTGGAGTGGAAAGTGTAGAGTGTGGTGTGTAGAGTGTGGAGTGTGGAGTGTAAAGTGAGGAGCGTAAAGTGTGGAGTGAGGAGTGTAAAGTATAAAGTGTGGAGTGTGGAGTGTACAGTAAAGTGTGGAGTGTGGAGTGCGGAGTGTGGAGTGGAAAGTGTAGAGTGTGGAGTGTGGAGTGTAAAGTGGGGAGTGAGGAGTGTAAAGTGTAAAGTGTGGAGTGTAAAGTGTAGAGTGTGGAGTGTGAAATGTGGAGTGGAAAGTGTAAAGTGTGGTGTGTAGAGTGTGGAGTGTGGAGTGTGAAATTTAAAGCGTGGAGTGTAGTGTAAAGTGTAGAGTGTGGAGTGTAGAGTGTAAAGCGACAATGTAAAGTGTGGAGTGAGGAGTGTAAAGTGTGGAGTGTAAAGTGTGGAGTGTGGAGTGGAAAGTGTAGAGTGTGAAGTGTGGAGTGTAAAGTAAGGAGTGTGTAGTGCAAAGTGTAAAGTGTGGAGTGTAAAGTGTAGAGTGAGGAGGGAGGAGTGGAAAGTGTAGAGTGTAGTGTAAACTGTGGAGTGTGGAGTGTAAAGTCTCAGGTGAGGAGTGAGGAGTGTAAAGTGCAAAGTGTAGAGTGTGGAGTGTAAAGTGTAGAGTGTGGAGTCTAAAGTGTAAATTGTGGAGTGTAAAGTGTAGAGTGTGGAGTGCGGAGCTTCCCCCATAGACACGGCGACGCCACAGGAAAACCAGAGACTCGAGACGAGACACGTGGGAGCACCAAAACGAACATTTTGTGCGAGACTTCCTCCAATTTTGATATTTTCGACAAACTTATGAAACAGGTTGGAATGTCACAAAGTGCCACGCCTGCCACGCAAAACGACATGACAACCTGCTTGGACACATTCGAATAGGAGATGTTTTCCAGCTTCCCCCATAGACACGGCGACGCCACAGGAAAACCAGCGACTCGAGACAAGACACGTGGATGCAGAAAAACCAGCGTTTCGTACGAGACATCCTCCAATTTTGACAATTGCGACACATTATCAAACAGGTTGGAATGTCACAAAGTGCCACGCCTGCCACGCAAAACGACATGACAACTTGCTTGGACACATTCGAATAGGAGAGGTTTTCCAGCTTCCCCCATAGACACGGCGACGCCACAGGAAAACCAGCGACTCGAGACAAGACACGTGGATGCAGAAAAACCAGCATTTCGTACGAGACTTCCGGCAATTTTCACAGTTGGCAACATGACAAAAGGACAGGTTTTGCAGCTTCCCCCAAAGACACGGCGAAGCCACGGGAAAACCAGAGACTCGAGACGAGACACGTGGGAGCACCAAAACAAGCATTTCGTGCGAGACTTCCTCCAATTTTCACACTTTGTAGCTTCAAAATCGACGTTTTCCGACGAGTTTTCCTTAGAACCGGAAAATTTGCTACCTCAAAATCGATGTTTCGTGCGAGGCTTCCGTCGATTTTCAACACATCGCACAAAATGCCACGCCTGCCACGAAATTTGCACCTTGTCGCCACTTGACGCAGCCCTGCCAATGCGATTTGCAAAAAACACGCAACATGATACGTCTAAAGTGCTGCGCCTGCCACGAAAAATGACGATGGACACGTCCAAAGTGCTGCGCCTGCCACGAAAACTGCAACACATCTTTTGAAAACCTCGCAAAAGTATTGCGCCTGCCATGCAAAACGACTTTCGACACGTTGCAAAACACGTCTGAATGTCACAAAGTGCCACGCCTGCCACGCGAAACGAAGCAACGACACATTGGAAACCTCCAAAAATGACCACCTCTGCAGAACTTCCCATAGGCACGGCCATACGGAGTTCGTACGGACGGTTGCGAACGGTTGCGACCGTGAACGCAACGTCGAGCGAACACACCCTCAGCCCCCAGACCCCCAGAGTGAAACGGGAACCCTTGCTACGCATTCGGGAAAAAAGTCGATTTCCGTCAGTTTCCCACCCCCAAGCCACATCTTCAAAGCCTAAGAGGTCACACATGGAGCCAAGGCTCTGGCTCACTGACCCTCGCTCCCCCATCAGTCTTGGGGTCCACCAAGGGCGCAGCTCTTCCAGTCGCAAGAGGTCACTTTGGGAGTTCAAATAATTCGGGGCTCGCTTCATTTGTGATTTGTTTTATTTCATGTCACTTTAGCCAATGTCATGTCATTGAATTTGTTCGTCCATGTGTCTCCGTTGATCATCTCTTGTCATTTGTCATTTGTCATCCATCATCCATCATCATAATTTTGATAAACATTATTCGTCATGATCTTCTTCATCATCCTTATCCTCATCCTCATCCTCATCCTCCCCCTTTTCTTGTCATCAAAGACGAATAAGAACCAGCCACCAACCCCCATCAAAATCACACATTTCCTGCAGTCGTGGCACAGGACCGTGCCTGTCTGGAACGCGAGTTGGAAGCTCTGCGTAGCGAGGAGTGGCTGAAGGGGGTGTTTAAGCTGGGTAAAAGTCGACTTTTGGAGGGGAATTCTAGTTGTTACCCGGATAAGAGTCGACTTGCTGCTTAGAAACCATGCTGGGATTGCTTATCAATTCCAAAGTAAACTTAATCGAAAATATTTGATGTGAGCTGGTAGTCTGCAGTACCATGAAGCTAGTGACATGGTGACATGGAGAGTTTGTGAAGCTGGGATCGCACGTGGATCCCAGTGAATCTCAGCGAATCCTAGGATCTAAAGTTCTAAAGGAGCCAAGGTAGAACAACTATGGGGATATAGGTAGAACAACCTAGAAAAATATGGTTTCCCCCAATTTCAGACTGGGACAAGTATCATGGATTGGAAATGATTTGGCCAAGTATTCGGTCCCAAGATAAGTAGCATAGAACTGCTGTCTGCAATCCTCGGGAGGAGCACCAGCGACAGGAGGAGAACCCCAGGCAGCTGGTCCCAGCTCTGGTTGGAAGTGTTGCTTGGTGAGTGGTTGGTGAACGGGGTACTTCTATGTTTGAAGCAATGTTTGAGGAAAGCCAAATAGTCTAGAAATAAGTTTCACTTTTTGAGTTCCCAGGATGTTCAACGAACGCTTCAACTTCAAATGGGTTATTCAAGTTTCGTCATGACGGGGAAAGGTGGACGGAATCTCTAACTGAGATATTTGAGCCTTCTGCGGGGGTTAATATGGGGTTGACCATGTTGCTGCATGATCACATCAGACCCTCATCACAGTCTTCTAGGGACAAGTAGACTGCTGAAATCTCAATTGTGAGATATGCAGCAGCCGGTTAGCACTAGGATTATAATTTACATAGCCATACATAGCCCACTTATAAATGGGAACACATCATTTACGGCATTTACATGCAATTACAACTTATGGCTGTTGACCAGCTACCAACTGGGACGAACATCCTAAGCCCTAAGCAGGCCTCTCCATGTCTTGCTGTCCATTGGCGAGCAAGCGCCTCCGCTGGTGAAGGACGTTGGGCGCGTTGGGCACATTCGGTCTGACAGTAGAGCCACCGTGGTTCCCTGTAGAAGATGGTTAGTGGCTATGGGAATGTGGTTATGGGAACCTCACAGCTATGGGAAGTACAAAAAATGAAGATGGTTATTCCTTTATGGTTTATGTGGTTTTGGGAATCGCCTCAAACTCATAAAGAACCTCTTCTACCCTTTTGTTCAGGTTTGTGAAGTACAAAAAACTCATGAGCGGTTTCGCATTTTGTCTCAATGGTTTTGATATGTTTTGATGATGTTCGGGAGGCCATCAAGGGATATAATATACCCTCTGGTAATCCAATACAGCTATAGCTAAAATGGCCCATCCATAGCAAATTTACGTATTGTCAATGGTGATGTTGGAAATGTTAGTTTGCTGGAATTGGTATAAATTCAGCTTAAGGAATCCGAGATGATCCAGATGCGTTAATGTCTCCCATCCTGAAGTCGTGCCCCCCTTCGACCACATAGGAACTGAAGTTGGAAGTGAAAGGCACCAGAGAGGCGCAGTTTTGGGGCTGGAGAAACCTTGTTGAATTGATATGGCTCAAAAACTGTTGAATGGATAGTTCCTGAATGTCTTGTCGATAGTTGTACCATGTTGTACCATCTTCATAGCCTTGATAGCTCAACTCCAAATGGTAATGGATAGCGGCTGACCTGGGGATGAAGCATGGAGAACTTCACCCTGCAGTTTCTTTAGTGGCAAATTGGAGGATGTGTTCACCACCTCCGTTTTGGGGATGATGTGAGCATATGCAATTTTAATCGATATGTTCAGCTCTTCTACAGCTGATAAAATCCAGCCAGATGTGGATGGTACACATGTCCGGCCTTGAAGCCCATGCTGCCAGCTCCGGGATAAGATCTATTCGCTGGAATCAGAGCTGGAGACTTACAAGCGGCGCTTGGAGGTCGGAGAGGGGAGGTGGACAATGAATGTTGGCTTAAGAATGGACCATCCATTCCAAAATGCCCATTGAAACCTCAGATGTGTGTTTTTTATAGATCTTGTTGGAACGGGGGGATTGGGGTAGGGCCCATACTTCCAAAAAATGGATGCCAGGTGGACGTCCGACAACAGCTGGAGAAGGCCTTGGGGCAAGTCTGGGTTCCGTCGGATCTATGAGGTTTGTCCAAACATGGAGCACCCCCAAAATCCAAAGCATGGTTTATCATTAATGGCCTGGTTGGTAGTTTGGAACATTTTTTATTTTTCCATATATTGGGAATTTCATCATCCCAACTGACGAACTCATATTTTTCAGAGGGGTAGGTACACCACCAACCAGTGGCTCATGAAAAATTGTACCTTGTTGTGCTGGTTTGCACCTTTTTTGGACAAATCTAAGTGGTCGATGTTGGGGATTCATTTCTGAAGATATTTGGTACCCTGCGCCGAGGGAGCTGCATACAGGCTGGTAATGTTCTTTCCTCACTGAACCACCCCATGTAGGGGTGCCAAATGTGGGCATTTACCCATGTGAGGGAAACGACAGAGGAAAACTTTGGTTGGATATCTTAGTGGTGGCTTCTTGAAACTGCAAATGGATGCAAATGGTGAAATCATGTATAATCTAAGGTTTTGCCAGCCATGGAAATGTCCTGAGCATATGGGTTTCCTGTACCAGTGGGCCACAGGAACAGCACCGCGTTAGACAACAACAGATGGAATTGGAGGACAGCGGTTGTGAGGTTTTCCGTTGCCTCTGCCTGGAATCAGCCATTAAACTGGACATCCACACCAGCTATTCCAGCTTGATGTTCACCAGATGCCAGGGTTTTGAACAGCCAAGATTTGTCACCAAACAAAGAATTAGGATCAATGCCCAGAAGCCTTGTGATATTCAAATATTAGGTTTATTGATGTATAATGCAATTCAAACATGGATAGTGTCACAAGTAATTGCGAGCCCCATTTGTGGTTTTAGCATCAAAGGATAGCTGGAAGGTGGAAGATATTTCAGTATTGCCCATGACCTGTAGGCCGACATGGTGTCTTTTGGAACACGGAGTATATAATGGGGAGGCCTCCCATCGTTGCGGAATCTACAAGTGCTTCAGGAGAAGGAGCGCAGCATTTCTGAGCTGGTCTTCGACCTCCGACGGGCCAGACAAGCCGCCGGCCTGGGCGCCTGGTCCGCCTGGAGTGAATGAAAATGGTTGGGAAAATGGTGGAAAAGTGGCTGATGGTTGATCTATGTTTATCTATGGTTTAATGGTAGATATGATGAATGAATGAATATTCATGGGGTTGATAAACCAACTTATAACTGGGGGGCACCATCATGTATCTTTGATGAAAGTTGTTGACGGGTCTTTTGATGATTTTTGATGGCGTTTGGTACAGTACAAAGTTCTGTTGTTGCAATATGTTGTAAAAAAAAATGTAGCATTTCTTGGTAAAGCTGTTTGTGTTAATGATAGGGGTGTGATGTAATCACCATGGGCACTCGGGCTTGTGACTGGCCATCAGGAAGGTCCCAGTGTAAGATGTTAGAAGCCCCAGAAGGACCTAGCGAAGAATCTCTAAATTACCCTTCGGTAGTCAAACATGGCAATGAAAATCCCCTGTCAATGAAGGTTTATAGCTGGGAAAATCATCTATAAATCGACAATTTTGGACTTTTTCGGTCTGGAGATTTCCATATGACGCGATTCTGTGATATCATGGATCCTCTTCTGCGGAATTTTGTGTGATAGAGGGCAGAGGGGCTTGCAAGTGTTTTCCGCTTGGCTTTTAGCGACGTCACGCAGAGGACTTGCCATGTCCAAGGTGGCAATATTTTTTGGACAAACAATGATCTACCACTGGATTCACTGGATGTTAGTGTTTCCCCATGATTTTCAGACGAAACAATATCGGTATGGTTCAAATATCGTACCATATTGTACCATAAAATTGGTGTACCTGAAATATTCATGAAATACAATGTTTTGTCCCTGAGTCTTAACTTTTTAGAGATGCTTCCACCTATCAACCTGTTGGTCCACAAAAATGGAATCTGTTGCGCATTCGTGCGAGACTTCCTCCTGAGAATGCCAGCCAGAGTTGGTAAAAAGCGAAGCTCTCGTAAGAGACCTTTCAAAAGCTTACGTGGTGGTTCATTGTGAAAGCAGGTTCTGGGAGATGCTGGTTTTGTTTTGATTTGTGAGAGCTGAAAGGTCATAGTTTATTCTTGTGATTGTCTATAAAACGTAACTTGCTTTTTTAGAGTTCCTTTTTCTACAGTCAACACCAACCAGCCTTCCAATCGGTAATAGTCCTTGGGTATCGGGCGTGGTTGCTTGTGTTTCCTTGTGGCAGTTTTCTGATTCTTTTTCTCATGTGCTTTTCCAGAGACCCTGTCTTCTTCATGATCATCATTTTCGTAGCTGTCAAGTGCCCTCAATACGCCATGGGAAGTCATGTGTTATTCCATATTTGTTTCCCTCGTCACGTGTAGATGGGTCATGGGATTAGTTAACTGATTAGTACCTGGTTGAGCTGGCTAATGATGAACATGTTAGCTAATGTATTGCTCCAGCTACCAGCAGCACTACATTTAGGACAATCAGTTGTTTATAGCCAGCTATAAAGCAGTTGGCCAACTTCACGGCCCATCAACACATCTTAGGCAAGGGCCAAGCTGGGTGGATTTGAAGACGTTTGGTATGTCCAGTGATCCCATTTTAGACCATCCCTCAACCTGCCATTTGGGGGCTTTCTCTCTCTCTCTCTCTCTCTGTCTCTATACGTGTATATGTATGTATTTATATATATATATAAATAAATAAATATATTTATATATATATATATATACCAGTAGTACCGCACAAGGCGGTGGCGGAAGTTTCAGAAATTGGAAACCTATAGGAGAGGTTGGTTGTTGTGAATCACGGATGGCAGAGCGAAGCCACTGATGGACCGAAAGGTGGTTGAGGTCTCCTCTCTTTCTCTCTCTTTCTCTCTCTTTCTCTCTCTTTCTCTGACTATCTACCTACCTACCTACCTATCCATTTATCTGTCTGTCTGTCTATCTATCTATCTATCTGCAAGCTTGAAAACGAAGCAATTCTGCGAGACTTCCTTCAAACATGGAAAGTTGAGCGCAGAGCTGACGGTCTCGTACCATTACGTTTTGCGATTTTCCAGTCCATCTGTCTAAACTACTGCGCCTGCAACGAAAAAGTGATGCCAGGTCATACCAAGTGCTGCACCTATCACGCAAAATCATCTCAGCAAACCTGAAGATCGGAGGCTCCAAAATGCAACACCTCTCAGGAAATCAGTGCCCGGACCTCCTAACAGCTCTGATGAACATGTTTCTTGTAATTACTGCGCCTGCCACGGAAAATGCATCTTTCCAGATCCTCTTCAAATGTCCCACGCCTGCCATCGTTTTTGGAAATGTTACAAAACCCTCACGTTTTGCTCACTTTTGACAAGATGCACAATCCCTTGCGCCTGCCACGCGAAACGACATCTGAATGTCCAAGAGTGGTCCGAACATGTAGTGCTTTGTACATTTTGACTTCGAAATGTGCTTCGCGCCACAATGGCGTGCACTTTTTCGACATCTCAGCTTCCAAAAGTCGTCCGAAGCTGAAGTGTGCTTTGTACATTTTGACTTCGAAATGTGCTTCGCGCCACAACGGCGTGCACTTTTTCGACATCGCAACTTCCAAAAGTGGTCCGAACATGCAGTGTTTTGTACATTTTGACTTCGAAATGTGCTTCGCACCACAACGGCGTGCACTTTTTCGACATCTCAACTTCCAAAAGTGGTCCGAAGCTGAAGTGTGTTTTGCGCATTTTGACTTCGAAATGCGCTTCGCGCCACAACGGCGTGCAATTTTTCATCTTTCATCTGCCCAGCGGGCTCCGCACCCGCCGCTTCAGCGAGCCTAGTTTTCGACCCTCCGGAGCCACAAATCATTGGAAAACCAGAGTGTTTCGCGACTTTCCCACCTTTTCGGGCACCTCTATCTCTTTCTTCTGAGACTTTCTCTTTTTGATCTGCTTTCTTCTTCTCTTCTCTTCTCTTCTTTGACTCTTACCACCTCTGCTTTTCATCTGTCCATATTGTCTTCCAAACTTCCACTCTAACCTTCGATATCATATATATATATATACATCCTCCTAAATAGGGATATATAGGGATATAAATTTTCAATCTAAGCAATAATCAACCCCAATAAAGGATGTTCTATTTCCCCAAACTTGGACCTCCCATGGTATATCATGCCAAAAAAATGATATGCTTGTAGAAAGATCGCGGTGATGAATGATTTCTCCATATGCAGTAGTTGGTCTAAGACCATTGGGCGCCAATTGGAGACTGCCTCTGGCCGAAGTTCATCCGAACACAGGCCATCACTTCCACTTTGTGATCTATCAAGGAGTGCTCCAAATGCGGAGAGCACTTGTGCTGGTGCTATCCAGGCGCGAAAAGATGGGCCATGGAGTGCCCGGCGTGCGGCTTCCATCTGTGCCTTTGCCAACCGAGACCGTGTGCCCTTTGCTCCCTTCGCCGGGCACCGCTACCATCAAGGAGTGCACAACATGCGGCTTTGAGCTGTGCGTTTGCCACCCGAGACCCTGTACCCTTTGTTCGCACAATAGTGAGAATAAATAGGGAAATACCAGGGAGAATCATCGGACAATGATAGGGAACATAATAAGGGAAATTGCGAAAATAACGGGGAAATAGCAAGGAAAATATAATGGAAAATAATAGGGAAATACTAGGGAAATAATACTGAAAGAAGAGTGCATATTCTTGGGAAATAGAAGACACAATATCACAATAATAAGCAAAACCAAGGGAAACAATAGGGGAAAAAAAGGGAAAGTAATAGGGAACATATTAAGGAAAAACAATAGGAAAATAATACGAAAACATAGGGAAAATAATAAAGAAATAACATGGTAGATCATAGGAAACCATACGCACAAAAAATATATATGCCAAATAATAAGGACAATACTACGGAAAATAATGGGGAACATAATAGGGAAACAATAAGAAAAATGATAGCGAAATAACATCGTAAATTTCCGGAAATGATACAGGAACAAGAGGCAAACAATAGGCGAAATATCAAGGAAAATTATATGGAAATAAGAGATCTAAACTATAGGGAAATAATTGAAGGAAGTTTAGAAGTCAAACTTCCAACAATATGGACAGATGAAAAGCAGAGATGGGAAGAGTCAGAGAAGAGAAGAAGAAAGAAGATCCAAAAAGAGAAAGTCTCAGAGGAAAGAGATAGAGGTGCCCGAAAAGGTGGGAAAGTCGCGAAACACTGGTTTTCCAATGATTTGTGGCTCCGGAGGGTCGAAAACTAGGCTCGCTAAAGCGGCGGGTGCGGAGCCCGCTGGGCAGATGAGAGATGCAAAATTGCACGCCGTTGTGGCGCAAAGCACATTTCGAAGTCAAAATGTGCAAAACACACTTCAGCTTCGGACCACTTTTGGAAGTTGAGATGTCGAAAAGTGCACGCCGTTGTGGCAAGAAGCACATTTCGAAGTCAAAATGTACAAAGCACTACATGTTCGGACCACTCTTGGACATTCAGATGTCGTTTCGCATGGCAGGCGCAAAGGATTGTGCATCTTGTCAAGAGTGAGCAAAACGTGAGGGTTTTGTAACATTTCCAAAAACGATGGCAGGCGTGGGACATTTGAAGAGGATCTGGAAAGATGCATTTTCCGTGGCAGGCGCAGTAATTACAAGAAACATGTTCATCAGAGCTGTTAGGAGGTCCGGGCACTGATTTCCTGAGAGGTGTTGCATTTTGGAGCCTCCGATCTTCAGGTTTGCTGCGATGATTTTGCGTGATAGGTGCAGCACTTGGTATGACCTGGCATCACTTTTTCGTGGCAGGCGCAGTAGTTTAGACAGATGGACTTGATGGACTGGAAAACTTGCAAAACGCAATGGTACGAGGCCTCAAGATTTGCACTCAACTTTCCATGTTTGAAGGAAGTCTCGCAGAATTGTTTCCTTTCTGATGTTGTCAACTCCGAAAATTGAGGAAGTCTCGAAGAATTGTTTCGTCTTTGATGTTGTCAAGTTCAAAAATTGAGGAAGTCTCGCAGAATTGTCTCGTTTTTGATGTTGTCAAGTTCAAAAATTGAGGAAGTCTCGCAGGAATTGCTGCGTTTTCAAGCTTACAGATAGACAGCTAGATAGGTAGACAACTACGACTACAACTACAAATGCAACTACATGTACAAAACACTACGCTACGTTACACTACACTGATTACATTACACTACGCTAATTACACTCCACTACGCTAATTACAGTACACTACACTAATTACATTGCAACTACAACTCTTACTACTACAAATACAGCTACAACTCTAACTACAACTACACTACATTACATTACACTACGCTACACTAATTTCACTACACGACAGCTACAACTACAACTACACTACTTTTAAGAGTTGCGTGTCAGGCAACCATTGGGTAGGGTCAAAATAGTTTTTTTAGCAATTCTGGAGTGATTTTGAAGCGAGCAAATAGCAATTGCACATTTTGGTGGCCTTGAGAGGAGCAAGCGAAAAGCAAACCGAAAGCAATCGAATAGCAAAAAAATAGCGAGCGAAAAGCAATTTTCCCGGTAAAGGTGCTAATTTTCCTTGCTCGAAACGTTCGGGGTTAATGAAAAAATCAAAAAATGCAATTTTCCTCGGACAAATCACTATTCGCTCGCTATTTTCCTGTTTGAATTTGATACGCCGATACGCAAAAGCAAGCGAATAGCGAGCGAAAAGCAATTTTCCCAATAAAGGTACTAATTTTCCTTGCTCGGATCGTTCGGGATTAAAGAAAAAATGCGAAATTTCCAATTTTCCTCGGAAAAATCACTATTCGCTCGCTATTTTCTTGCTATCCGCTTGCTCTTCTGAAATGTTACTATTTGATTGAGCCTCCGCTCGCTACAAACCTTGCAAAAAAACTATTTTTGATTTTCCAATGGTTGCCTGCCAACGCAACTCTTAACACTACTTGACACTACACTACCAGTAGTACCGCACAAGGCGGTGGCGGAAGTTTCAAAAATAGGAAACCTATAGGAGATGTTGGTTGTTGTGAATCAGGGATGGCAGATCGAAGCCACTGATTGACCGAAAGGTGGTTGGAGTTGTGTTGCTGGAGTGGTTGCAATGGTTGCAGTGGTCACCTCACCCACAACTGCTGGATGTAGTGTGATGTACTGCAACTGTAGTTGTAGTTGTAGCGTAGTGGATTTGTAGTTGTGGTGTAATGTAATTAGCGTAGTGTAGTTGCAGTCATATAGTTGTAGCTGTAGTTGTTTTGTAGTTGTAGTAGTTGTAGTTGTAGTTGTAGTTGTTGTTGTTGTTGTAGCTGTAGTTGTTGTGTGGTTGTAGTTGTTGTGTAGTGTAGTTGTAGTTGTAGTAGTAGTAGTTGTTGTTGTTGTTGTTGTAGTTGTTGTTGTTGTTGTTGTTGCTGTTGTTGTTGCTGTTGTTGTTGTTGTAGCTGTAGTTGTTCTAGTTGTAGTTCTAGTCGTAGTTGTTGTGTAGTTGTAGTTGTAGTTGTTGTTGCTGTTGTTGTTGTTGTTGCTGTTGTAGTTGTTGTAGTTGTTGTAGTTGTAGTTCTAGTTGTAGTTGTAGTTGTTGTGTAGTTGTAGTTGTAGTTGTTGTAGTTGTAGTTGTAGTTGTTGTGGTTGGTGTTGGTGTTGTTGTTGTTGTTGTTGTTGTCGTTGTTGTTGTTGCTGTTGCTGTTGTCGTCGAAGTTAGGGTAGTTAAGTTAATGAAGTTAGTTAAGTTAGTCAAGTTAGTTAAGTTAATCAGTGTCTACTTTTTCGACATCTTCACGTCAAAAAAGGCTCAAAACCCACAGTTTTTTACACTTTTCACTTCGAAATGTGCTTCGCGCCACAACGGCGTGCACTTTTTCGACATCTGAACCTCCAAAAGTGGTCCGAGACCGTCAGTTTTTAACACTTTTTACTTGGAAATGTGCTTCGCGCCACAACGGCGTGCACTTTTTCGACATCGGAACTTCCAAAAGTGGTCCGACATTGGTGTGTTTTGTACATTTTGACTTCAATATGTGCTTCGCGCCACAACGGCGTGCACTTTTTTGACATCGCAACTTCCAAAAGTGGTCCGACCATGGTGTGTTTTGCACATTTTGACTTCAAAATGTGCTTCGCGCCACAACGGCGTGCACTTTTTCGACATCGCAACTTCCAAAAGTGGTCCGACCATGGTGTGTTTTGCACATTTTGACTTCAAAATGTGCTTCGCGCCACAACGGCGTGCACTTTTTCGACATCTCAACTTCCAAAAGCGGTCCGATCCTCTAGTGTTTTGTCCATTTTGACTTGGAAATGTGCTTCGCGCCACAACGGCGTGCACTTTTTCATGTCTCATCTGGCCAGCTGGCTCCGCACCCGCCGCTTTAGCGAGCCTACTTTTTGACCCTCCGGAGCCACAAATCATTGGAAAAACACAGTGAATCGCGACTTTCCTATCTTTTCGCGCATCTACCTCTTCTGTCTTCTGATCTTGTCTCTTCTGACTCGTCTCACCTCTGCTTTTCAACTGTCCATATTGTCGGAAGTTTCACTTCTAAACTTCCTTCGACAATAGACTACACCACACTATACTACACTACAGTACACAACACACAGTACACTATACACTACATTGCACTACACTAATTACACCACACTACAACTACCACTACTAATACAGCTACAACTTCAACTGCTTCAACTACACTACAAGTACGACTACAACTACAGCTACTGCGCCACACCGCACTACATCCAGGAGCTGTGAGTGAGGTGACCGCTGCAACCATTGCAACCACTCCAAAAGCACAACTCCAACCACCTTTCGGTCCATCAGTGGATTCGCTCTGCCATCCGTGTGTCACAACAACCAACCCTTCCTATAGGTTTCTTCTGTTTGAAACTTCCGCCACGGCCTTGTGCGGCACTACTGGTAAGCAATTAATGGGGTTAATAACAGGGAAAGTAATAAGCAAATAATAGGGAAGATAATAGGTACACTAGTGGACCCTAATGATTATCATGTTAAGAATGGCAGCCAATGAAATTAATCAAACATATCTAATCATTAATCCAGTAATTATCTCACTATCAGCGTTGCCTTTCTCAATTGTTTGTTCAAAATCAACGGGGTCAATGGCATTATTAATGTTTTTCATTCTTGCTTTTTAATCCCACTCACAATGGCAACTAATTGTGAATTGAATTGATGGACATTGATTATCATGAAATCTAGTTCCGAATCATTTTTTGTGATGGTACTTTATATTGTTCAATGCCCTTGTGATTTGATGGATTGCTGTGACCCTGCGGTCACCGGGCGGTGGCGACTTTTCTGCAAGCGATTTGCCCTGATTTCAGCACTCGATTGTATTTGGTTATCTCTGGAAATTGGATCCCTTGCCAAACCTGCTATGCTTCCAATTTTGAGATGTAGGTTTGGTTGGCTCATTGGTTGACAGGAAAAACTTGTTAGAAGACATGGAATATCGGATCCTTTAACCACCAACCTTTCTCCTGCGGGTGCAGCACGCGTAAGGTGAGGGCGATTGGGCACAACGGGAGGAGGAGCCCAGTGGCTGGTCATTGTTGGCAATGCCCTTTGCTAATCAAACATACCTGGTCATGGCAAGCTGAGAAATCCACATCAAAATGGAGGTTTCATGGAAATCATCTATAAGTATAATGGAAATCATCTATAATGGAGGTTTCATGGTTTCATTAATCATTATAAGTATAAGACATGTTGTAATGGGAAATACCCACATCATCCCACATCCAGAATTTGGAACTCCAATTTGTCGGGTTTCTCAGCAGCCGAGCTGCCAGGAGTACATGCGCTTGAACCTGCAGCTTCGCAGGTGGTTTGAAGGGAAGACGGATCTCACCGATTGGATTAGATGATGATCGGTGATTGTTGGATAATTCATTGTTGAGTTTACCAATGTTTACCACATTTTTTGTTTGATGGATGATTAACGAATGATTACCGGATGATGCAGGGATGAGTCTTGGATGATGAATGTGGTAAGATGTGGTAAATTCCATGCCATCCCCCATGCCATAAACCTCTAATTGGGGATGGTTTCTACGGTCCATTTCTGGTGAGCTTACCACATTAAGCGGCATATTACTGGTGGAAGTCCAATGAATGGTGTGAAGTGGTATGTCATTCGCTATGGATAATTTATGCTGTCCCCAATCAACGAGAAGATAAACTGATGATTGAAGGGATATACTTACCTCACATGGTTATTGTGTATCTCTTTACATATGACAATCATGTGTCTATATGTATATATATACACACCATCCTCTTAAATATATATATATATGCCCATTGGAAATCATCCATTAGTATCTATTAAGCATTCAAGTACCATTAGTAGCCATTCACAACCAATAATTCATATCCATTGATATCCAGAAATTATGTGTATATATATATATATTTATATACACATCCATGAGTATCCATTAATTATTACCCAATATTGGACAGCCAGTTAGGTCCCAGGTGGCCACTTGTCGCAGGTTGGAAGAAGAGTTGCAAAGTTCCCGGCGCAACGAGCAGCAGAGCGGAGAGAGGTGGCGATGATGCCGTCCTGGGACTTCCATGACCGCTGATGGTGGTTCCATAAGATGGGGTACCCTGAAATATTATGAGGTTTGTCTTGAGATAATCCCCAAGTCACCATGGGGTTCAGACTATAGTTTATGTTTTGTCCAAGTCACCAGAAGATTTATACTTATTCCATGTTTACCAATGGATGCATAAGTCACCATGGGTTAACCTCTATGAAGTCGTGGTCACCCATGACTTGGATGCGGGTACCCCCATGACTTCAGAAACCTCCAAGTGGGGAAAAAAAACATACCCCTCCTGACGGCTGAATGTCTTGGAGGTGATACTCACTGGCGAATATAGGGGATTATGAACTAACATGAACTAACCCATTATTGGGGAAGATGTCCTAACCAGCCAGAAGAAGGTGCGAGTATTTTGAATGGTTCAGGTGGGGGATGTATATATATATATATACAAGATGGAAACATGGTCTTTCTTCCCAAGAAGAATAGGGGATTGAAACAATAGAAGTGGGGATCAATCCACCACCAAGCAATCATTTTTGCCCTTGCGCTAGTGACATGTTTGGTTGAGTTATGTATCCCAGTCTGGCTGGTGGTTTGGAACATGTTTTTTCTATATATTGAGAATAATCATCCCAACTGACTTTCATATAATTTTCAGAGGGGCCAATGCTGAGTGGATTATTGGCGGTTGAGCCCAAATGGTTTTCAAGTGGGGCATGAACCAAATGTACCACATTGCAAGTTACAAAGGATGAGGTGGTGGTTTCAACTCCAACCCAAAAGTAGATCTATTTTCCGATTCTGGATAAATTGCGTTTTCTACCCAAAGCCAGAAAGCAGATGAAAGCAGCAACTCCAGTTTGCTTCAGGGATCTCATTTATCATGTTCCCCATTAAATGGCTTTGATTGTGGGTATACCCCATCCTCAAACAGACCCAGTTGTGACCGGATGGACTTTCCGTCAGGCTGCTGGATGCAGAACATCAAATCCTGGAACTGCGATTCGAGCGAGAACAGGCCAGGAAAGGGAGGTTCCATGGGTTCCATTGTGAAGGGATGGATTGCAGCTCGAATTCGCAGAAATTTGTTACTGTACTTGGACTTTGTCCAAGTTTCTTTTCGCCCTTTACTACCTTCGGTTGATCCGATATTGTACTGATGGCATTCTCGTTCTTATTGCGTCTTGGCTCAGCCGAAGACTAACCACATCCTGTACCCATTAATTTTGTTGATGAATATCACTTTGATTGATTAAATTGAAGTTCATGGGTAATTGTCCAAAATTCAGACCTGAGGGCGCGCAGATCTTGATGATTTTGGGATTTTCGTTGCTTAGGTGCAGCACCGAAGTTCACGCCTAGAGACTCGTGCCGGACTCCTCAGAGGGTGGTTTGTGCGTTGAAATGTTTTCCGTGCTGGTGTCTAATTGTAGCTGGAAGAGGGGTCCCCAAATCATTGCCCACACCTCCAATGATCTAACTTTGGCTGGCTGGAAACTCCCCCATTAGCATCCCCATCCTGGCTGGTACCTTGGACGCAGCTTAGATTATCCTGACATTTTCGGTGGCGCAGCCCTTTTTTTTCATGGTTTAACACCGACCGTACTTGCCCTACCTCTTGATATGGCAGCAAATGTTGCTCAAACTCCCAAGTCTTTATGCAAATAAATGTTTGTTAATATATAGTTGAAACATATTAAAGCCAAAGCCACAGACGCAAAAAACGTAGCAAAATCTCCTAACGTCACAGACGCCTCAGATCTTGGAGCTTGAGTTGGCTGGAGATGCTTCACCCAGGTGGAGATGGGTGATCTCTCTGGGGTCCAAAGATGGGGTCAGCCAGAAGCACAAATGGTGATGTCTATTGGGGATACATATATATATATATACATACACATATAGACACATATAGACACATATGTAAGTTCATGTGTATACATATATACACATATATTTGTATATACACTACGTTATTTTTGCCTACGTAGAATTGGGCGAGTTACTCTATTTGCCAATGTGTTGGAAAGGTGATGACCCTCTAGAGTTGGGAGTCCCAAATCGACAAACTGCAGGCGCCCGGAAGGCCCGCCGGCAGCCTGGACCTTGGCAGGTCATGTGGAAAGGACTTTGCTGAACACATCGAACTAGGTAGATCAAGAAACATATCTGGGGGGTCACTTCCTATATTAATGTACATTTATGAATAGATATTAAATGATATATGGGATATTATGGGAATATATATATATATTTACATACATACATGCCTTTTTTTCGAAAATGTGGACCTCGGATGTGGATATCCAAAAAAAGTGCCATCTGGCGCAATTTCCAATCGCTGAGGCAGCTGCAGCTAAGCTCCAAACGCGGAAGGCGCATTCCCATGCCGCACTGATAGGAGGCTCATCCAAGTTCATCCCCGGTTTTACAAATGTTGAGAATGTTAATAAAGCAATCTGTCCAACCATCCCCAATTTTTTCACCAGTTTTATGGCTGGGATCAATGGTATAAACCATCATCATATGGGTGTATGATTGCTTTGATGATCTCCTGTTCCTTGGAAGTGACGCCCCAACTTACCTGGACAGGAGAGGAATCTGGAAAACGTCATCGAGGGACTGGAGCCTGCCTGGCATGGATTTCAGCCATGGGATGTTAGATGGATTCTAGATGGCTGCAGTTGATGCTTGATGATTTCGATGATTGGCTGGATGAGTTTCGAATATTTTGATAGTTTGATGATTCTTGATACTTGTTGATGGTTTAAAAACTGCTGTTTGGCTGCGCTCCATGAAAACCGTTTGTTCCTCACCGTTGAAGCCGGTGCCGGAGCAGCTCCAGAGCTTCCAGGCGCGTGATCAACCAGCAGAAGGGCGACATTCAGCGTCTGAGGGTCGAATTGGAAAGGCGGGCACCGGCAGGGAATCAGCAAAAGCATAAAGTCTCCATGTCCATAACCTCCAATTTCCTCCAATAAACCCAAGATTTCTTGGTTTCTCAGATTTTTTAAGCTGGTTATTGTTGGGTGGAAGGACTTCTGCAGGCGTCCTGAGCGCAAGGGCGAAGTGGAAAGGCTGCGGAGACGGGTCTGGCCCTCGGGCAGCCAGTTATTTGTCGCGGTTGAACGTCATGATCGTTCACGTCAGGTCTTATTTTGATTCATGTGTTCCAATTTCTGTTCCATTGCTTTTCCAATTTTGTATTTACAGAAATTGGAACAGCAAAATGTGGTTCTTTTGTTCATGTGAGAGTGTCCATTGGGGCTAGGTGCAAGAGCTGGAGCACAGCACCCTGGAGATGCCGCGTGCAGGTGGGATAGAAATATGAGAAAAAATAGGGAAAAAAAAATCTGAATTCAAGACAAATTAGACAGAATTGGGATATAATGCTGCCTCAATATGAATATATATATATATACATATAGATGTAAGTTAGATATAGTTAGGTTAAGTTAGAATATCACCCCATCAATGCAGATGTCAGTCAGTAGATCCTGCTAAGACGCACTGCAGGTCTTGTGGACGAGCTGCGACAAGCCTTAGCTGCCAAGGACCCTATGATGAGGTCGCGCAGTTGGGATCTTCAAGAAGGGTCAGCAGAGTGCCAACTTTCATGTGAAATGAATTGAAATATATTGAAATGGTATCTGGTGTTTGATATTGAAATCTGATTTGAAAATATATTAAGGGCTTTTCAGATGTTTGTTTGTCGAATTGCCAGGAGGAGCACGTTCTTCAACTTGAGCAGCAGCTTCAACAACTCCGCGAAGTCTCAGCGGTTGATCGCCAGGCTTGCGGTAAGTTATCCCACCACCCACCATAAAGGTGGGAATGAATCAACCGATGATTGAGTGATGCTTCAACCGGTTGCTGGAGATGTTTGGTTGATGCTCAACATGTTGGACGTCTCACTCCTCTTCTGTTCACCTCTGTTGTCATTTTTTGAAGGGGAGATTACTGTTTTGTTCGAAAAGCGTCCAACTGCTGGAACAATTGTTGCTTGTTGAGTTTCCTGGGGAGGTGGTCAATAGACCCACTTACTGGTAGCTGAAGGTCTGACAACCGCCCAGTTGAGCAGGTTTGTATTGTTGTTTCTTATTATGTCTGAAAATGTGTCGTACCCCCAAATGGAAATGTTCCTAAAGTCATCATTACCCACTGGATTTGGGGGCATCTTATTTCTAGTTTACGATCCATATACAATATATACAATTACGTATAGATCCCTGTGTTTTTTCCCCATTTCTGTGTTAACCATGGCTCCAAGTTGCCTCATCCCCATGGTGGCGTTCCAACTCACTCCTTTCAGGCTGATGCTCCTTCAGAGGCGGTGAGTCGTTTGCAGCAGGAGCAGCTGAAGTCTGTTGAAAACTCTTGTTGGTTGATGATGATATATGACAAAAGTCATTAATAGAAATTTACCTCCCAAAATATGGGGATATTTGTGTAGATATAAAATGATATAACTGATAAATGGTTGTTGGTTGATGATTAGTTCTGGGGTTATACTAACCAACATATTGGGGAATGGCACCAGGATAGAGTTTGTGATTTCACCCAGCACAGTGGTGGATTTTAGCCAGATAACTCGATAGACTATGGCTGGTGGTTTAAGAGCCGTCTTTTGGGGGTTCTATGGCATAGTCCCTATTTGACTTTCACGAAATTGTCAGACTTGGAACCACCAACCAGGTGCAGTATCATACTGTACAAGCATTAAAGAATATAACTAGACTTTAGATATCACCTGGATGAATTATAATGACCTCACGTCGTGACGTCACTGGAATGATTGTTTATGGGGAGTCATCCCCAAATGGCCGTATGATAGCCGCTATTTTCAGCTTCCTGAGTCATACAGTTATATATTAATTATTTAAAATTGCCAGAAATAGACATATATGCATCCCCATACATGGTGGGACCCGCAAACCTTATGTTTGTTAGTTTTTAACTTCATGGAACGAGTTCGAGTTCAGCCAGATATGAAGTGATCTGTGGCATCGCTGTAGGAAGTTCTCGAGCTGCGCCGGGCACGAGGCGTCTTGGGAGTAGTTTTGGATTGCTTAGCTTTGGGCCATGGGAAAAGATAGATCTGAAAATGAAATTGGGTGAGGTTGATGATCGTTGATGATGTTTGATGACGGCTGATGATGTTTGATGACGGCTGATGATGGTTGATGGTGGTTGATGTTTGGATTCAAAATTTTGGTTTGGTCGATGGCGCAAACAGCTGCGCTTTTGGAATGTGACCTATTTATGTGATGCGCGTATGTGCTGACATTTATTGATAACATGTCCTTGGGGAAAGTGCAAAAATTGAGTCCAAAAACAAGCCACATCACTACGTTATTTTGTCCAGACATGGCGGATACCCGGCATACTCCAGATCACCGCCTCAAAAACAGTGAAGAATTGTAAGATCACATATTATATGTCACATATCATGCGTTTCATGTTACATATTTTAGTATTATAATATTATATATACATATTTTATGTATGTTGTTTTCCAAACCACCACAGATACACACAGGGAGTTGAGGTGTTCCTATTCATGCACATGTGCTCACTGCCAGGAGAGGATGCAGCCGCCTTAGATGAAGCGCAACGAGCGCTGCACGAGGCCTTGTTGTTCTGTGATGCCTATGAAAATTGAGTGAAGGATGGTGATTCGATGGGGGTTACCTATGAAAATTGGTGATGTTATGGGTTTTACGGGTGAAAAATCGTAAGTTAGTATTTTTTTCATGGGAAAATCATCTATAAGCAGAGGTTTCTAGCTGGGAAAATCCCCCATCAATGGGCGATGTTCAATTACCATGTTTGATTACCAAAAGGTAATATGGGAAATATTTCTCCCTGCTAATCAAAGTAATTTATTTTATCAATTTTTCGGTTTTCACTCAAAGATTGTCAGATGACCGATTTGCCCAGAAAGCCAAACTACAAACGCCATGTCCTTTGCAAAAAAAAGATACGGCCTTGCGACAGGCAGAGCGCACCGAACAGAGATATCTCGAGGTGACTTGGGAGGATGGCCCTTTCTGAATTTTGCTGGGCAACTCTGCACAAGCCGTTATTTAAAGTGCATTACCTGCATTCAGTAAGGGATGCTGTCTTGCAATCAACATTATTGTTGCTGAGGAGAAACGAAACTCGAACTGAACTCTACTTTTCGCATGCTTAGCCACTTTCATCCAAGCATGTCCAAGAGAATAAGAAGCATCAAGGCGTTGCCAGGTTTCAGGCAGGGCCCCCCAGCAAGAATCTCAATTGACTGGTACGGGTTTGTCCGAAAAAAGTGTATATACCTCAAAATTTGATTTTTAATATATTGGATGGTTGTATCTGGTGAGGTCCCCTTGAGGGCGTCGCGGAGTGTTGTCGTTTTTTCAGGTTTGCGTATTCTTCGAATCACTCATTTCATTCCACGTTTTACACGGTTTTCTTGTGCTTCTTTGCATTTTCTGCTGTTTTTACTGTGTTTCGTGACGTGCTTTGCCAGTGTTTTTTGGTGGGGTGGGGTTGCGGGTGGTGGGGGGGGGAGAAGTGGGGGGGGTTGGGGGGTCTTGGGGTGGGCTGATAACGTTCTTGTTTATTAACGTTCCTGCAAACGTTCCTGCATCTGCGTTCTTGACACGCTTTTCACTTTTGCAAGTGACGGTTTGACACGCGTTCGATGTTTTGGTTTTGATATGTTGACGTTGGTGTCCGGTGGCGTGTGGGCATGGGGTTGGGTTTGGAGGGGGATTAGAACGTTCACGTTAACCAGCGTACCTGCAACTACTTGCTTACCAACATAATCATCGTCTTCTTCTTCTTCTTCTTCTTGAACATCATCATCATTATCATCATCACCATCATCATCATCATCATAAGCTTTGAAAGCAATGTCTGCGCGATAAGGTTAAAAAAAACTTTACTTCGGAGACCCCTCTTGGAAGATGCATTTTGACAACCCTCACGAAATGCAGGTTTTTAAGGCGTTGTGCGTTGAAAAACGCGCGACGCCCTCAAGAGGACCTTCCCTTGTATATCTCCAATAATTTTCCCATTTGAATTACCATTTTGTCGCGGCAGGTGGCACGCGAGAACCGAAAGCTGCGACAAGATTTGAGCGCTTTGGAAGATGAAGGATTTTGGCAGGAGATCACTGTCACTGTCATTGCCCAAAATGGGGTTTCTGAATGTTTCTGACCAATAAAACATGAGTTTACCATCAAGAAAAAAGGCGGTAGAGCCATGGCCCGGAGAAGCATGTTTTGCTCTGTCTGGTGATTTGATGTGATTATTATGTATATAGGATGTATAGATGTCTATGGATGAATTGAATAGCAATGTATATGACCGTACTACAGTAATGATCTGGCGGCACATTTTTCATGAGGCTGTCTTGAAAGCAGCAGCACGTTGTAGCTTGCGAAGGGTGCTAAAGCTTCCACCTTCTAGATGGCTGATGCAGTTCAGGAATCCGCTTCCGTATGACTAGACAAGTAATAGGAACTTCTTATAGAAAATGATAGGCTTAAAGACAATTCATCTATATCTGGTTGGTGGTTTGGAACATGTTTTATATTTCCATATATTGGGAATAATCATCCCAACTGACATTCATATTTTTCAGTGGGGTTGAAACCACCAACCAGATCTTCTTCTACAGCGCTTGGGTTGGGAAGTTCATGTCAGGGATTGTGTTGCCTAGGAGATCGAGACTCTGCAGCAGCGGAACGAGCAGGAGAGCTTGTAGAGTGGTACCCAGCAAAGTCGGGAACCCATCGTATTTCGGTTGTTGTATCGATGTCCTGCTGAAAAATCTTTTTTTTTTCCGGAAATCCACCCGGGAATCTACTGAAAACCGATTGTTTCTGTTGCAGTCCACATAAGCATATGCAAGATAATGTTGCAAGACCGCGTGGAAACTTTGACTCCTATTCTGAGCCACCTTTTTTTGCGGCATGATTGACAATTTAAGGGACTAGTCACCAGTCCTTTTATTTCTCGTCGTTGCGCAGGCGACAAGCTTGGTAAGAGAGAGCAAAGAGGTCTGGATTGCGGTGTTGGGCTTTGCTTTGACATCCGGACTAGTAGAAATGACCTCACATGGGGATGGATACCGACGAAAAACCATTGGATGAAGGGTGAACAGAAGGGTTGGTTTTGACCCAGTTCGCCGTATCACGTGGCCATGTCCAGGCACTGGAGAGAATGGCGCCAGCGGCAGCCATGGATGTGACTTCGTTGGTGGCACGAAAGCCAAGCGCGTAAACTTTGGAGCAGAGTCAAAGGACGCAAATCTCCACTTTCAGCAAACTTTGCCTTCGCCTATTGCAAAACCCGCTCTGCATCGCTTGTGGAAATCCTTCGGTGGTTCTGGAAAATACGTTGCATTTCTTTTGGGTGAATTCTGCTCAAGTTTCTGACCCAGGCTCGTTTGGAAGTCTTTGCTGCGCCTGCTGCTTAAGGACAAGAAAAGGTGCCGTAGCACTGGGTAGTTGATGCTCTAATCCATCTACAAAATATAACTGTGACTTAAAAAAATTGCTGGGCTAACGGATCTTCATCCCGAGAAAGATCTTGAAAGTTGTATCTATAGTTATTGACTTATCTTAGTGATGATTGAAGATGTTCATTCTAGACCTGTATCGAGGTCCCCAATAGTTGGGCCATGCTTCAACGGGGAGTCAAGCTGCCCTGGCCTGTAGACATTGGTATGAGCCCCTTTCAGGTTTATTTTGGAGAGGTGTCAGTTTCGGTTCGGGGCTAGTTGGGCGTTAAAACACAAGAAATTTCAACAGACTCCTGATCATGCAGTAAAGCCTGACTTCCTCCTGTTTTGGTTTCACCGAAAGCATATTATGCTTCACAGTTCATGTCAGAGCTACGATTTTTGAGGCAAACGTGCAACACCCATGGTCCCAAATGATTTAGTGTGGTGAATCACGCACAGGCTACATAGGAATGATCCAGTTAGAACGATTCAAGCCATCATTTATCATTTGTTTCAAAATGTCTGAAGGATTTAAGGGATAGTGTTCCACCACCGATGCTTCGAGTTATGATCGTGTGCTTGGTCATGAGAGGTCCAGCAGATTTGCTGAGCTGTGTGCTTTCTTCCTTGGCGGAATAGCTAATTCAAATTGCCCTGGCTACGGCCCCACAGACCCAAGCCCTGATGATTCATTGCATATAAAGAGTGTACATAGCCAAACACTAGTTCTAGATATTCACAGATATTTAGATTGGGAAGCTTCAGAGGTTTCAAATTTGATAGTGCTGGCGAAACGCAGCTTTTGGTCATGATGGACAATAAACTATCAGGCTGAGATCTTCTGAGCAGAATTTGACATCCAAGACATGGTTGTCTCTGGTTTAGTGCTTGGCGAGGTGTCTATATTGTGGTTGAAGGGTGATTAAGGGAACCAAGCAAGACCTTCCCAAGCGAAACTTCAAGATGTACTTGTATGATATTCCACAGCATGTGCCGTTTACAATGGGTTCGTTGAGTCTTGGCCTTAATTCAACACTCGATCGTGAGATTTTCCACGGTCACAGCTGTAGGTCTTGCATCATTTGCCCCCAATAACGTCCTGGCTGCTGCGGCCAGCGGCAAACGTTCCCGTCGCCGGCGTTGGCTTCGGAAAAATGGAGCTACGGATGGTAGGAATATGTAGGAACTCTGGCTGATGGGTCTCATTCCATGTGGTTTTATTGTGTTTTTTATCTGTTGCTTCGGGAAATTTTGAAAAGTCACAAGGGCACCTCAAGGAGGCACAGGGTGCTGGAAAGCTATGTCGTTTTCACAATGGACTCATCACTTCCATTCGCATTTTTGGCTTATGCCTTAGCTTCCAAGCGACGCCTCGCAGGTTATGTATTGCTGTGATCTTCTTCTATTGGCTACAGATGGTTGGACACTTGGCCCTCACAACAACACGTGAGAGGAAGGACGCAAATACTGGCATTTTCTGATTTGCAGATGCTGTCATGACATGTTGGAGACCTTCATTCAAGTCTGAACTCATGAGATGGTGCTGGATATCTTGATGCTGGTTCTCTTACTTGTCGTGGCTCGAAGTTGCGGCAGTGTAGGTGACTCTTGAAAAACAAGTGGCATGGCCAATTTTTTTGGGGGCTCATCACTGCATAGGAACCCATATACCAAGTGTGTTCGGACTTCCATTACGAGATGGGATGACCATATAAATTCAATGCAGTTTTATGTAGAGCTTCATCCAGCAGGCATGGGCCTTTTGTTCCACACCTCAGTGTCAGATATCTACGCCATTGGTGGGGTATCATCGCCGCCTCGGTTTTGTGCTGAACGCCATGGGGTCCATGGATGCAGGGAAAGAAAGCAACCATGATAAGGGAAGCGTTCTCCAAGCACAATCCAATTCGTCAAGAGCAAGAAGTGCATCGATCAGTGACCGGAAGCGCGGCAAACTGGACCAGGCAAGCAATCCAGGCAGGACAACATCCCCGACCTCCCGAAGCCGGAGACGGGCTAGAAGCCGACGCAGCAGCCGGAACCCGGACCGGAGACGGACTAGGACCCGTAGACGGAGCGGGAGCCGGAGCAGCAGCAAGAGTTCAGCTTGCAAAAGAGATGAGCTTCTGTGGGCTCCTCAGCATCCATCGGCACCGCGAGCTGCCAAGGAATGATCTCATCTATGTTGACATGGTTGATTTGGCTCCCCTGCACATTTGGTTGGCACTTCTGTGATATGGTGAATCTGTGGATGTCTACCATGAAATTAGGCAAACCACAAAAAATAGCATGCGGAAAGAATCGATTCACTTTGACGGTTTTCTTTTACACACATGTTGGTTTCTCCATCTCTCTTTCTCATGCTTTCTCTTTTGATCTCAGCTCTCTTCCAGTTGTGTTTTTCGAGGGTTTTGTCCCTAGGGTATTTTTTTTCCGCCAAGGTCTTCCCGTCTCGCCGCAGTTCAATCCTTCAACTCTCTAGGACGCAGCGGCAGACTTTGGGGCTTCAATTTGGCGAAGTATGATGGGCAGTTCAAGGCGGCGCTCAAGGAGTTCTTAGAGTGATTGACTCAGTCACAAGGAATGCAGCAATCACACGAGCATGAAATCAGTTGTCAATAATAGGAAAGCAGTAGGAAAGGAACATGTCTCAGCCAGCGCGCTTGCACTGAGGCGCGTATCTGACGAGCATCATGTCGAACCACAAACATTCGATACGGTGAAGGATGCGGAGGGCAACTTTCAAAGCACTTTGAAACTAACTGACAAGGCTTGTCTCCTCCTTCCCATCCTTGGGGAGAAAGCGGAATTCGAAGGAGAGTAAATCCAAGAAAGAAGCAGACAACTCCGCAGCCCAGGCATTCTGGACCGATCCTCGTGTCTTGGAGATAGCTAGAAAACTCAGACCTTCAAAGAGGGCTGTGAAGTCCAAACAGCACTTTGCTAAGCTGGATGAACAGCGCAATGCGAGGTGCAGAGCGCAGCGCTTGGCGTAAAGGGCAACGGTCCGCCGGCAGGAAAAGATGCTCCTTGATTAAGGAAGAGCTAGGTGCGTCTAGAATTTGTTGATTCCACAGTTCAACCCATTGAATTTTTCGGTAGGGCATCGATCTTTGACGTAACCCTTTGCTCCATGGCTCATCCTCCAAAATGAAGGTACTATTCATTAGATAGTCATCGTCGTCGTGTGTAAATTGAGCGCTTGGTCTAGGAATCAAATGGATTGTTTGAAGCCTTTGGCACCTCTTGATTCCTATGCAGAACCCTCACATCCTTTTTGGTTGTGAGCTGGGAAGTCCAGCCAATTTGGCAAAGTCATTGAACAGTGGCCCAGGAATGGAAAGGCGGGACAGAGACAAAGGGTTTGTTTTCAGACGTGTTTCGGTGCTCTGAAGAATTCATCTATGTACAGAATCGTTCCATCATTCAATCATTCAAACAAACGGGACTGTACCTCCTCTAGTGGATCTGATGATTTCGTGCATCAACTGCCAAGTTGAGCAGCTGGAGACTGTGAATAAACTACAAATGCCGTGATCCAAACAATCCATGCCATGAATTGGGGGTACTTCACCAATTTTTGGATGAGGTAATAAGTATTTGTTAATAGTAATTATCCCATATGTTTCCATGAAATATCCGAATATCATATATCCCCACGTATCTCATGTTTTCAAGTTTCATCCCCATTTTTCGTGTTAAAACCATCATTTTTTGCTGGGCAAAGGTGCCATTTCCTGACCAACCCACCCAGTTTCGACCTGTCCTTCGTCGCAGGAGGAACTGAAACCCCGTGCCGACGATGATCTCCACATCCACGTCACGCTGGAGCGATTAGAATACTTGTCATTCATCCCACGTCCCCTCTTTTTTTTGGTGGAAGTGGGGTGGAGTACCTTTAGAGATCCTGTTCTGAGATTTTTTTTGGACAATTTATGTATCACTGTCTTTAACTGGATTTAACTGTTCGATGTTTTTCTAGGGAACTGCTATGCAAAAATGGGGGAGTTACCCTAAATGAAGTGTAAACCAGTGGATTTTGGGGTACCCTAGTTTCGGACAACATGAACTTGGCTTTGGATTTTTGAACTCTTGACAGGACCAGACGGTGGGTGCCATGAACGAATTTGTGATCAGGCAAGGTGGGGAAGATGTGCGATTGCATATGGACCCTTTAGAGTAGTGGTTGCCTCTTTGGTTTTGAGTCAAAATTAGATATCCCAAAAGTTGGATCCTTGATACTGAACATGAACAGAATCTGTGCTCCCGGCCTTGAGTTTTGACCCATACCCATTTTGTTTTTTGAGGGAACCATGGGGAAACCATTTGTCTATTTTGATTCTACTGATACTGCAACAAGCAATTGCAGAGGGAATGACTCAGGGTGATCCCCATCCCCGGCCTCGATTCGGGAGGCAAAACCTTCACAGAAGGAGCGACAGGAGGATGGGGTCCGGAGAGCCCAGAGGTAGGACCATGGAACTTCTAGGCATCCCCTGGTGCAGATGAAGCAAACAGATCTTCTGATATCCCCAACGGATGAGGTTGACCGGCTTCCTCAATGAGCCAACTTCCAAGTTGGACAGTGGGTGTTTCACCACCAGATTTATCACCACCTCTTGCCCTGCACAAAAAACGGAGGGTTCAGGTGAGTTGCGTCCATATTGATTCGACATCCATATTGAGTCGAAATCAACCATATATTTGGCCCATGAAGAGATACTGCAGAACCAAGTTTTTACATTTCTTGCTAAACACTTCCTAATAATAGCGTAAATACCAGGGAATTCTGTGCGACGTCAAACAACGGCAAGGATTTTATGTTCAATTATGTTGCTAGGGTGTTAACCAGAACATGTTGCTTCTACATATCCTACGGAATTAACCATACAGTGATGAGGGTTTCTTTTAGGGTTTCAAGAAGATATCAAACTCCGCCGGCCCCCTGGAACAATTGACCATACAAATAGCAGCTTCCAGGTTCAAAATGTTGCAAATAGTAAGAAAAAAGGACAGAACAGGAAATAAAAAAAACAAAAAGGGAAACAATCTCAAAACAATTCCAGCGCCTTTTTCAATCCATATTTCCATGCATACATGCATACATACAAACAACCACACATCATGCACATGTATTGATAGTTTGATTTTTCCAAGACATGTAAACATACAATATATACATGCAAATATATACACACACACACGTGTGTGTCGATTGTTATTTTGATGTTTTTTTAGAATTCATATTCAGGAAGCAGAGTTTCTAAGTGTTAGGTTCCCCTAAGGAATACGACCACATAAATCTTGCAGCAAAGATCAGTTGTGTACATATTTCATTCAAAACCCTGTTTATTTTTGTTTTTTCAATCCATATATCAATACATATATCCATACATAAATCCACAGATACATGCACATTTATTGATGGATTGAACTTTTTCCAAAGACATGTAAACATACAGTATATGTATATCTATATATACACACACATGTGTCTGCCGTGCATATATGTATTATAGGTGTTTGTTCAGATATAGTGACCGATCTACATTTTGGCGCAAACATAACCCCGAAGGAGGTTTCGAAGCATATTTCACAACTTTTTGCTCGTATACCTTGCATCAATAACTCTGACCCCAGGCGTGCGCAGCTGTCCCGAATTCAATTGGGAGGATGTTAAGTGGAGGGCCAAGCAGCTGGTCGACCTGTTGAAGGCCAATCGATTTGGTTATGCCAGCCTGATGTTGGAAATTTAGTTGGCTTCAAATTAGTTGGACACATCCCCAATTTATTATTACCATGTCATTATTAGTATTACTCGTATTATCATTAGATATCACATATAGCTATTACTACTATCATTATTGATGATGATGATGATGATGGTGATGATGATGATGATGACCACGACCCGTGTCAACTCATGGAACGACGGCTGCAAGTCACGCCCAGGTCTCCTGCAGCCAGACTCTTCGCAGAAGATCATGGCCGCCTCGCCTCAGTCAAGAAAACCATTCGGATTTCGCCAAAAAATGTCGGGATTGAGCCCATGAATTGGCGAAATATGGGTTACTTCAAGACTTGGCCATCTTATTTGGAGAATAGTATGAGATATCTGGTCCATGTAATAGGAGAAACGAAGATAAACACCCATACCTTGGGTAGACCTTGATCACAAACTGTTGGGGGCAATCCATCATCACTGATTTTTTTTCCGAACAAAGGGGATTTACACTGAAATCTATGTCCATCTAAAATGAGGATGAAAAATCGGGATGGAGAGGTCTTTTCAGACCAACCCAATTGTACCGATTGGTTCTATTCACACTGGGGTGGGTCAAAAGTTAAGACTTTGGGACCCACAGATTGCTCCAGCTATTGGCAAACCTTAATGACCTGACCCTTCCCATATCGCCACGTTTCGGTTGCTTGGATTCCCAGTTAGTGGGTCGGATTCACTCATTTCCATTCCATTACCACCCCATTGTTTTTCGTTTGCACCTTTCCTTTCTACGTTTGTCCTTGTTTCATATCCAAACCCAACAAGTTTGGACTGCCATCCCAATTCTGACGCTTTGCAAAGATCTTCGCTGAAACTCCTCAGGTCATGATGTTATCATTAAGGACCAGTCGCTGCCGTATTTCCGAGAGGTTTGGACTCACGAGGCAGTCGGTATGACAGTGCCCGATATTTGAAGCAACAAACACATGTGGGATTTTGGATGATTTTGGCAGAAACAGCCGATCTAAAAACTCTAAAACCAATGTATTTTGGATTGAGATTGAATCACAATAAAGACATAGCTATTTAGTTTTCATGTTCCAGAGGGAAATCATTTGCTGCCCCATAAAGCGGTTGTCATAGCCAAGTGAGTTCCGGGTCTTCTTGATGTTTTTTTGATCCACAGAAAACTGGCAGGTTTACATGGTGAAGATTTCACATGTAAGGATGGGTTAGGGATGCTCAAACAATGGAGCTATCGCCCAGATGTAGATACTAGAATTTGGTAGTTTTGTTGTTGATCCTCCGTGACGGTCATTAAAGAACATGGTCAGATGGCATCGTCGAATTGATAGCCTTTTGGAAATACCATCCGATGTTCTTGGTTCTCTTCCATGTTGTCGACGTATCGACGCAGGCATTGCCATCATTCCAATCCCATTTTCTGTTGAAACATATGACAAAGTCAAAGTCCCATAGAATGACATCAAATTCGCTGAGTAAAGCCGTAATTCGCCACTTCCGGCCAGCCCTGCCAGGTGCTTCCTTTCTTGTGGCGTGCTTCTGGTCGCTCTGGCCAGCTGGCCATGTTGGCTCCGGCCCCTGATCTGTTTCTGACTGGGAAACTGATGGAAGATCTTGGAGAATTTGAGCACTTTCATATACTTTAGAACATAAGAATCTAAACAAGTTGATAGGACTTTATAGACAGGATTTCACATACTTTCGTATCACTTTAATATACTTTTTCTTGGACATTGAGATCTGAGACCGGATTCTTTCAGTCGAACATTCGTAGAAGATGGCCAAGTTCGCTCAGGCCCACAATGGAAACGCCTTCGATTATTATGTCCTGCAGAAGGAGGGGCTTCGCTGGATGCACACTGGACTGGCACCAACGAAGACGCCAGTGTGTCATCTGTGATATCAAAGGGAGACGTCCCTTTGACGTACCTGCTTTTGCAAATTTCTGGAATAGCAAGGGGCTAAGCTCAAAACCCCAAAGACCGACATGTCCAATTTGCACGGTTGTCACACTCTGAATTTCACCTTGACTATTCCTTTGTTGGTTTGATCTTTATTCTATTTGATGACGATTCTGGTCACGAAGGTCATTCGGGAGAACTTCCATTATTCGAAGGGTACTACGTAGGTTAATTTGTTTCTCATCTAATTTGCACGTTTACAGGACTCAGTTCCTGATGGATCTCTCAAAAGATCCAATTTTGTCTAGTGTGTGTAAAAGCGTCTGTGGGTAAAAGTGTCTGTGTATAAAAGTGTTTGTGTGTAAAAGCTTCTGTGTGTAAAAGTCTCTGTGTGTGAAAGTGTTTGTGTGTAAAAGCATCAGCATCTGTGTGTAAAAGCGTCTGTGTGTAAAGGAGTCTGTGTGTAAAAGCTTCTGTGTGTAAAAGCCTCTGTGTGTAAAAGCTTCTGTGTGTAAAAGTGTCTGTGTCGTAAAAGTGTTTGTGTGTGAAAGCGTCTGCGTGTAAAAGCTTCTATGTGTAAAAGTCTCTGTGTGTAAAAGCCTCTGTGTGTGAAAATCCCTCTTCTGTTGAGTTGTTGAATTTTATGGTAGGCGCTCCATGGCTCATCCTCCAAAATGAAGATACTTTTCATTGGATAGTCGTCGTCGTGCAGAAATTGAGCGCTTGGTCTGGGAATCAAATCGATTGTTTGAAGCCTTTGTCACCGCTTGATTACTAATGTGGAACTATCAAATCCTTTTTGGCTGTGCCCAGGGTTGGCAGAGCTGAGAAGTCGGCAAAGTCATTGAAGAGTAGCCCAGGAGTGGAAAGGCGGGACAAAGACCGAAGGCATGTTCCATGATTGGGGCAGGGTTGGTGCATCCGTGAGTTGCTGTTGTTGCTGTTGTTGCTGTTGCTGTTGCTGTTGCTAATGCTGCTGTTGCTGCTGGTGTTGTTGGTGTTGTTGTTGTTGTTGACAATCTCTCTGCCCTGACGCGCTCCCCCTTGCGCCTGCCGGGGTCGGCGGATTTTTCTTGCAATACACCAGTTGACTGCAGTTTGTGTTGTAAAGCGGCATGATGGAACATAAAGAAAAACCAAAATCAGTCCTTTCCTTCTTCTCCTGAGATCCAAGTATCTTGCATCGAATAGCGTGGCCTTGCTGCACTGCTTGGAAAGTGCGTTGACCTGGAAGGCCCAAGGTCGCAGAAAGAAGTGCTGGGGGCAGGCTCCGCTTTGTAATCTCAATTTCTTGCCGAGAATGGAGGTGGGGATAAAGTCATGTTAGTCACGTCTTTGATCCATCAGGAGCAGCACTGGGTATGGCCCAGTGGCTCCTGCCTTCACAATGAACGACAGATCTTCCATGAGCAAGGCAGGTGATGGAAAGCATTTCATTCGGGGACTTGAGAGCCACTTCAAATACATGATGTAATGTATAGGCAATGGAGCTCTGAACGCCGGTAGAAGAGTTTAAATCAGACCCTGCCAAGAACTATCCTGGTAGCAGCAACGATTCTTTCTTTTTGTGGAACATGCGAAAACACAGAAGACCTACTGTAGTCTCTTCCACAAGTGATTTCCCTTTCAAATCCAGGAAGTTCAAGAGAGAGAGGGAGAGAGAGAGAGAGAGAGAGAGGAGGGATTGCTGCAACCACCAGAAGGGCGTGTCAGGAGGCAGCCTTGACTGCATGGAGTTTTGTGCTGATCTTAGTTTTGTTTCAAATCAAAGTGAAAAGACCATGCCCGGTCAGCATTTTTTAAGTCAACTTACTCGGGCTGGACTGTTTCACCTCAATCCCTGGACAGGACACTTCAAAGTCACCGGTTAAAACGGTTACCTTCAAGAAACTCCCGCAGACCTTGAGGATGGCGACAAATTTCTATATGAAAACTGCAACTGCAACAGATGAGTCGCTTGAGTCACTGTCTTCAGAGTGGAATTCGAATTATTTTCCTCAGATGTCCTCATGCATAGCTCATGCCAAACGAGGACATTTGACCCTGACATCACCCACCAGCAGATCGAATGGGTGCTTTGGGAAGGCATGCGTTAGATGCTTCTTTATGTTTCTTTCTGCAAAGCAGCTGAGCATTGTCATCTTCACTTCTTGTCAGGAAGATTCGACAGGAAGCACCGCGGTCACCTTTGACGAAGTGTGGGCAAACCTCAAGGCAGATTGGCACAATGCTAAACAGAAGGTCGAAACTGAGACTTGCACAATCTGTTTATCCAGAGCATCCAGAGTGTCCCTCATGATTTGGAGGAGCTGTGCATAGCTATGCCCATAGCTATGCTCGTACTGTAGCTATGCCATCGATACACAACTGATATCAACTTATTGCTGATAAGAAGATCTGCCCTGGGCGCAGGATGGAGACCTTGAGGGACTTGACATCGATCCGTTGGAGCAGTCCTTTGCACGCTTGGCTGATGAAGGGCAAGAGTACTTGGACCCGAAGAAGGCAGCAAATAGTGAGAGCATGCCGATTGTCACATGTCGTTTGAACTCTTTTTGGTCGTTGAGCATGCAATTCTGGAACCGAGTTCCTGAGTCTTAGATATCCGAGGGATCAAACGGATTCAAAAGGTATGAGACGATTCAGAAACTTCCTATATCATCAAATATAATCTATGTCTATATCGTCCTATCTTATTGGACGATACACACGGTACACCCGACAAATTCCCCACCGACCTGTGTTGACTGACAGAAAATACCGAAACTTGATCGTTCCCTGATCGTTGCATATAGTTGTTTTTCAACTCACTGGTGCAAGCACTGCAGATCGGGACAGCCTTGCAAACTTCCGGCATCCACGGTGTGACAGATGATATCATGGGAAAGTGTACTAGGAGGACACGCTGGCAAAGCTTGTGTGTTTTGCACTGCTTCAAAATCGTTGGTTTCGTGCTTGTACGACATATTGATATGGTACATGCATACACTTTTCGGATTGTTGGAGTCTTCCTATGTGTCACTCCTAGAAAGCTTCTTATATTCCTTGACGTGGCTGGTTGAATTGCTTATCTCAGCTTTGAGCAGTCTTAGTACTAGTATGGCAGGATACGAAAACTCGCTCATGAAAATGTCAGGCTATGTTGGAGATTATCAGTGGACGTGCGGTGATGTAGCGGAAGTGAAACGCAGAATGCGCATTGAGCATGCATGGATTGCGCAATCATAGCTCCATACCGTGCCAGGGAGGTGCATAGTGTAGACGACCTATGTGAACGAACTGACTTGTTATAAAATGTTATGTATACTGTATATAACGCCCTGTAAGTGGGCATGAGGGGTGCACCAGCCACGCTTAATGCAAACGCGGCAGAATTTGTAACAGAACTTTTGTGAGAGATGCCCGGAGCAAAAAGAAAGACGATATTGACTTCCGTGACTACAGGACCGCTTCCAAAACGTAGAAGCTGTAGAAGTGAATTACGTAAGAAGGCCAACCTGAACAAGCATAGTTGAATTTTGGTGAATTCATTCGTGAATCTGTGCATAGTTCAGAGATGTTCAGAGTAGGTAGTGCTGGTGAAGCTCTGTGACTCTTGATACCATTTCACAGGTACAATTTCATAGGCAGTAAGATCGGCAGATTGAAACATGGCAGGAAATTCAGAATTTAGACCGCAAGTTTTCCAATCTTGAAATGAACCCAGGAGATTATTCTCAATGACAGAAGGCCAACTTTTCTCAGTTTTTCTTGCAGATTCATTCCGAATTTTGTTCGGCTGGGGTCCCGAACTGCAGGCGTTCAGGAAACCCGTCTCTGACGTCTCTGATTGTGACCACCACGAGTGGGTCCAAAGTGTTTCACGGCCCTGCAGGTCTCACAGCCCTCCAAAATAGGAGCAGAGCGATGCAAAAACTCTCCTTAAAGCATTAAGTTGCGTTCGCATCATCGCATCTTTCAGCTTTGCTTACACAAAGTTATTTATGTTTGCGTTTGACGCTTGGCATTCACGGATTATTCAGGAGCCAGGGTCTGTCGAAATATCGGAATGGCTATAGCTTCTTTCGCACCGAGTATGTCATTGTTTTGGCTCAGTGACTGGACAAAGTGAGACATTTGGAGCTTCATAGTAGCTGCCTGAGATCTGACAGCACTTGATATGGAAGTCAAGGACTGGAGGCCGGGTCATATTTGGAACAGCAGTTCCGACATGTTGACTGCAGAGAAATAAGGCTTGAGAGAGAGGTTCCAGTTCATGTGATCCACTTTCCATATGCACCTTGGTCGTTTGAATGCGGTTATCAAGCCTGACTGGCCAGATGTTTCCCTGAAATATAGATGGGGAAGTTTCAGTTGCTATGTTTGTTTACTGAAGGGAGGGGCCAGGGGCAGAAAATTGAGTTACATGGCTTTTTTTTGCACATCCTACATAAAATCAATCCATAAGGTTAGGTTTTTATTCAGAAGTGCTTGGAGATAAGCTATTTCCATGAGTCACCTTGTGAATTGTGTTGTTCTTGTGAAACTGTGCCATACAGTGGGATGGTACAGGGATGATTTTTGAAGGTGGGATGTGTGGTTAGTATAGCTGGGCTCATCACCCTATGCATCAAGGAGACACGGATATTAATCAATTAACCGTTCAACCTCAACAATCGCCATCCAACTCGAAAACCCCAATTTTCTGGGCCTCGGATCTTCAGTAGTTTTTATGGATAGATTCACAGAATTGATGTTGCCACATTTAGCGATTTGTGGCGAAGTAAGTGGGATTTATCCCAATACATCCCAGTATATCAATAGTTTGAATCCAAGTGGTTTGCGGGGTTACGATCCACGAATCCACGATCACCACTTCGCTACTTTGTGTATCTAAGGGGAGGTTCCCACCCAAAGGTCCGCTCTCTTCATCCTGTGAAAAGTTGATGAGAAACACTTGTAATTTGCTAAGAATATACATCGATATATCACAAATGGGAGTTTTTACCAGGTTTTTCCCACCTGACTTATATGATAATAATATGATATAAGTAAATACATCAGAGTCATGAGGAACCTTGACACTGGTTTCCAGTAATGTCTCAGGCATCCTCTTGGTCGTATTGACCCAACGGTGAGAAATGTGAAACCACGAGTGCCAATTTACTTGGCCACTCGTGGTCGTATTGACCCAACGGTGAGAAATGTGAAACCACAAGTGCCAATCACTTGTGGTTGTGTTGGCGAAGAGGTCTCACGTGCGACAATTCTTTCCGCGTACATTATTGAAGATAAACACATGGACTCTTATCATCAAAGGTCCCTTGAGGATAAGAGTCCATGTTTTTTTTTAAGTCTGTAATAGAACCATTTAGGTTAACCACGAACATTGTTTTTGTTTTTGGCTAAAACGGGTTGTTTAGATGGGTTTTATGTGGGTAAAGTGGGTGAACTCCCTGATTTTTGATGATTTTTGTATGATTTTTGATGGTTCCATCTGAGTTTTAATGATATTTACGAGTAAAAACTGATGAACATGATGTTTTTGTTGCAGGTAAAAATTGGTTGTTGTATCGTTTAGAATTCCTTTCAGGCGGTGTTTAGATTTTTCTTCAAATCATTGTTTAGCCCATTCTTCAGAAACCTTCATTTTGGTTGGGGATGGGGTTGATTCCAAACACCAGAGCTGCTCACCAGGTCTTAATTTCCCATCCAACCAGCGCGCGAAGGATGGCAGTTTACCAGATAGTACGATAGGCTATAATTTAGGACCATTCGTTACCTTAATTTACCTTCGCATCTTGCCTGTATTTTACCTATGTCAGTTTCGGCCACCTGGCCAGGTGACAGCTGCGCCTGTACTCAAAGCTGCACAAGCTGTGGGGGTGCTCTGAAACTGGCCGGTGCTCGTGCCTGCCGAACCGATGGTCAAAGCGTTGTTCATTTCAGGCTTCAGAGCCAGTGCAGCGCCAGGCGTGATTTGTTGTGGTTGGTTTTTTGGTAAGCACCCCGCGAGGGCGTCGCGGAGTGTTGTCGTTTTTCATGTCTGCATTATTTTCGAAACATCCATTTCATTCCACGTTCTACACTGTTTTCTTGTGCGCCGGTACATTTTGCGGTGATTGTTGCGTGTTGCCATGCCAGGGTTTGTTTGGGGGGGTGGGGGGTGTTGGGGGGGGAGCTAATAACGTTCTTGTTTATTACCGTTCTTGCATCTTCGTTCTTGACACGCTTTTCACTTTTGCAAGTCACGGTTTGACACGCGGTCGATGTTTCGGTTTTGATATGGTGACGTTGGTGTCCGGTGGCGTTTGGGCATGGGGTTGGGTTTGGGGGGGATAAGAACGTTCACGTTAACCAGCGTACGTGCAACTACTTCCTTACACACATTTCTTCTTTGCAATTCATATCATCATCATCATCATCATCATCATCTTCAACATCATCATCATTATCAACATAATCATCATCATTAACATCATCATCAACATGATCATCATCGTCAACATCATCATTATCATCATAAAGATCAACATGCCCATCATCATTATCAACATCATCATTATCATCATCATGATCAACATTCTCGTCATCATTATCAACATCATCATCATCATCATCATCAACATGATTATCAACATGATCATCAACATGACCATCATCATTATCATCATCATCAATTGCCTCGATGAGGTTTAAAAAAAGTTACTTCGGAGACCCCTCTTGGAAGATGCATTTTGACAAAATTCACGAAATGCAGGTTTTAAAGGCGTTGCGCGTTAAAAAGCGCGCGACGCCTAGCAGGGGACCTTCCCTTGCTATTGCAGTCGTGATCCTATATATATATATATACTCTTCTTACTCTCTCTCTCTCTATATGTATATATATATATACACATATATATATATTATGTATCCATCTATCCATCCATCCATCTATCCATCCATCTATCCATCGATCCATCGATCCATCTATCCATTTATCCATCTGTCCATCTATCGATCTATCGATTTATCGATCTATCGATATTTCTATCATTCTATCTTTACACCACACACACATAGATATGGTATGGTATAGTATGGTAAAGTATATATAGTATGGTATAGTATAGTATAGTATAGTATTATCATTCTAGTTTATGATCATGTAGGTGAAGCATGTATGCACGTGTATAGTTTTCAAACGTATGAAATCATATGTCAAATTCAAAAAGCAAGCTCTCAAAGCCTTAATTTCCAATGTTGATACCATGTTCTCAATATGTGCTTTGCTGCCACGAATTGTTCGGCTGTTGCTGCTTTCCCAATGCTTCAGGGTGGAGATCGCACGGCACTTCAGACGGATCCTCGGGATGCGCAGCACGCAGGACATGGACTTGACCATTTAACCTGCAAAACCGATATGCACAGTATTGCAAAGTCACTCTTTAGTTGGTTTTGAATGGTTTTGAATCAACTTGAAGTCACAAGTGACACGTGAAACGTGATGAAACGTGATGAAACATGATGAAACGTGATGAGACATGTGGAGTCCATGTCAGGAAGCGACTTGACGGCTGAGGTCTGCCCTGTGCAATACTCGGGTGATTCGAACGGAGAAGATCCGAAGCCCGGTGAATGTGCGCAGAGATCTCAGAGATTGAGTGGAAGACCTGGGAAGACACAGTCGGCAGACGATTTTCATGGATTTTCCACTTTTTGCACTGAAGATACAAGATACAGTACGAGACATAGATCAAAGCTTCACAAAAAAAACGCAACTCAATCTCTGGGATGAAGAATCAGTGAAATGATTAGATCCGATAGTATTCCGAATTCCCATAGTTTGGCAGGTCAAGCAGCAGACAATCGAGATGCTTTGGCCAAAGTAGTCTACGACATTGTCTTCAACTACATAGTGCACCTAGGATTGCAAGATGTTGCAAGATGTTGCAAAATGTTGCAAGCGCAGAACTCCAGGAGTGGGCGATATCCAAGAAGTGCAAGTACTACAGATACGACATAGTGTTACATTCAGCTGCCGCAGATATTTGGATGATGACCCTAGTCAACAAGTGCAACACGAAATGGAGACACAATGGAGACACAATGAATCCATGTGCAAATGGTTTCAAATTAAGATGAAACAAATATCACCAAAATGACAACCTTTTAGTTCTTCATTCTCGGAGTCTTCTGATGTCCATTCTTTCATTGTGCACGTGAAGCTTCAAAGTCCGCTTTTGTCCGCTGAAAATCCCTCAACTAAACATTCGCAAATCTGGCTGGATGTCATGTCGCTGACGCTCATGACTTCCCATGGGTCACCCCCAAGTCGAGCCTTTGGAGATTTTGGGGCCGACAAGATTTGCCCATGGTTTGCCCATGGTTTGCTCATGTTTGCCCCAGGCAGAGTACAAGCATGTCCATTGGATACGTCGAGGACCGTCATCCGTTGAACAATTATGCAACCACTTGACAAAATGGTGAATTTTGCAACTTTGGAGTTGCAATGAGTTGCAAGGAGTTGCACATGCTCCAACATGTTCCAACATGTTTCCAAGGAAACGGTTTAGACTTGTGCAGAACATGGATTTAGGCTGCTGCAGCTGCAGGACATGAAGCTCTTCGCCGGTGTGCTTGACATTTTCGGTTCTCGTCTCAAAACGGTTGGTAGTCTGAGAATGGTTTAAGAATACTGTAGTTTGAGAAGAGTTTGGCAACGTTTTGGTTCTCGGTTCGCTTTTCGTTGTCGTGTTTGCCGGACTTTGCTGCGCTATGATGATGGTGTCAGGTTTCGAGTGCTTCACTTTGAAGAATTCCTTCAAGCAGTGCGAAGCTCGGAACTGACGGTCTCTGACCTCACAGTGCTGCTGTTGGCACATGCTACGCTCGGCTACGCTTAAACTCTATGGCCATCTTGTGGAATCCGCTTCAGGCTTTGCATCAACTTTACGAATGAACGGCTGCAGCAGTTCTTGCAGTTCTTAAACTCCTTTGTTTTCAAGCTGGAGGAGATCCGACACTGAATTCACATGAATTCACAGCCTCATGTTGATGTTCGATTATGCGGTTGATGTTCGATATTCATACGCAATCCTTGACGCGCCCTATGTATCATATCAGAATATATTATATATTAGACTATATAGGACTATTAGACTCATGTATTATGCATAATTTTCTATAGAAATATGAAGACATAGAAAGATACGACAACAGATTGAAAATTTGAAGTGTCTTTTCCTATCTTTATTCCGTTGCCCAGGAACAGCTCTACGAGCGTGAGGGCATCGAATGGATTCAATTGGATTTTCCTGACAACCAGGACAAGGGCACAAGGGCACAAGGGCACCAAACGGAATATACCCAGGGAATAGAAGATTGACTTGATGAAAGATCGATGAAAGATTGAAGATTGAAAATGTGTCTGTCATGATTGCCCTCGATCAAAATAAGTCCTGAAAGCATTGAGAGAATTGAGAGAGGGTCAGATGCTTTCCAGCAGGAAATGATATCAGATAAGTGATGAAATATGATGAAATGCAGATGGCACAGGCAAGAGACGTGTTTTTGAATTGGCGATCTGTCATAGTACCCATCTGAACAAGATGTGATATAAAAAGATAGGTACAGTCGGTACAGTGATATGTTGATATGGGTCATGATGGGTCCAATGGGTATATTTCAATGTAGCATGATTTGGCCATGTGTCATACTTGTGTCATACTGTCAGAATTCATCAGCCCTGTCCTGAGTGCTCCAGGATGCTGTCGACATGCTTCAGGGCAAGGTGCCATACTGGATCGTCCCAATTCGTCTGCGACGAAAAAGCGTCGACATGAATTGCGCATGTGAAATATGTAATAAATATGTGAAATATGTGAAGTGTTGGTAGAAAAATAAATACATGCCATGCATATCACATCATATCGCGTTCAAAACAGCTCTTTCAAGGACGCAGATTCCCTCAGATTCCTTTCTACATTTTTCTACATCTTCTCCACTCATCTCAGCTCTTCAAGACACTTCTAGTAGGCACCGGTGATGTTGTCGTCACTCATGCGATGCCACAGGATGGGGCAGTTCCAGGAATCCAGCGATATCGAAAGGGAAAATAGTTCGATTAGCTAAATCGGATTAGTAACCACAGTTGGATATTACCATATTTTGCTAATTATCATAATATAGATATATATATATATATCCAGCTATACATGATAATTAAAGTAGCCTCTAGATGAACTGATTTAGTAACTAATTAGTTTATTTTTTTTGGGAAGATAGAACCAACATGAACCAACTGTGACTATGATATGTTTTTTTAGTTAGGACTTTAAAACCGATGTGTAGAGCTTGGAGAAAGGAATTGTTTGTCTCAAAAGACAACCGTGATCAGCACTGGCTTCTAGGATTGATCTTTGTTCGCGACATCATTTTCTCTCACTTTGCCATGGATGCCATGAATTTGTGGGTATGTCGCAAATGCGTTTGTGGAAATATGATATATGTGTGAACCCACCCATGTCGGTTTCTCTTCTCAATCTTCTCACTCTGAAACCAAATGTCGTTGAGACTGCAAACGTGAAAGCACCCGAAAGAGTTCGGTGTCGTGAATGCGTTCTAACGTATCAAGCTTTCTGCGCAGGTGCCGCAAGGTTTTACCCAGGCGTGGGATCCCAGGAAAATTTCAGGATCCGGTCCTGAAAAACTTAGTGGGTAGAATTACGGCCTAGTACATGTAGATGATTGGCTTAGTGTATATACAGTAAATGGATGTAAATGGTGGATCTTCATTGGTTTTTCCATAGCTGTGTGAAATTACCATAAATTACCAAAGGGTAACTCGGATGCACCAACTGCAACTAGTAAGGAAAATGGTCAGAATAGGAAATCCCGAAAAAAATCCCCAAAAGGGGAAAAAAAACCAAAACAATTCCAGCCCCTTTTTCAATCCATATATCCATGCATACATTCATACATACATCCACACATACATGCAGATTTATTGATAGTTTGAACTTTTTTCCAAAGGCATGTAAATATACATACATGTGTGTGTGTCGAATGTTATTTTGATGTTTTTTAGAATTCATATTCAAGAAGCAGAGTTTCTAAGTGTTAGGTTCCCCGAGGAATACGACCACATAAATCTTGTAGCGAAGCTAAATTGTGTACATATTTCATTCAAAACTCTGTTTATTTGTGATTTTTCAATCCATATATCAATACATACATCCATACATACATCCACAGATACATGCACATTTATTGATGGTGTGAATTCCAAAGATATGTAAATACACAGTGTATATATATATACATACATGTGTCTGTCGTGTATATATATATATATGTATATATATATGTATTATGTGTTTGTTCAGATATAGTGACCGACCTACATTTTGGAGCAAACATAACCCCAAAGGAGGTTTCTAAGTGTTGAGAGCATTTCCAAGTGTTTTTTTTAACGCAAATCAACACTTAGAAACTGACATTTGGGAGTTTCTAAGTGTTGGCTCCAAACAATTGGAAAAATTGGTTTCTAAGTGTAAGTCGGTCACTCATCTTCCTCTTTCTCTTCTTCCCCTGGTTCGCCGTCTCGTTGTCACCACTGAAGAGTGACTGATGGCACATCACTAAGGAAATGCCCCTGGACGATGACTCGGACGAAGACCACCCCCCATATGCAGGTGCCGATGGCCATGGCACTCGTTGCACGTCTTAGGGACCTGAAACCATCCCATCTTTCCATCTTTTGTTTGTTGGATAACTGTATCCACTGTATCCCTGCTACAGAGTTTTGGTTACGGGTTTAGGAGGGTTGACAGTTAAGGCACGACAGAACGCACTGAATCATTTAAGGGCCCTACTCTTCATGGAGCATTGTGGACGGGTTGATTCTTGGATGTTGCGACATCTAACTCACTGGTGCTGGGTCAGCTGTGGCAACAGTACTGGCGATGGACCCCAGCTTATGAGGACTGGTGGATTGTTGTACCCTGAACATGTATAAATAAAATAAAATGAATGGATAACCACGAACCCGACATGGATAAAATTGGTATAAACTTGCAGCACCCAGCCACAAAACTGATGGAACTCTTTTTTCCCCCAAGTATTTGACAATATTAAGTATATTGAACCTGGATTTCTCCTTGCAGTTTCAAGCAACGCATTTCTTATAGTTCCCATGCCAATTTTCAAAGCTATCTGATTTTAGTGTTGTCTTTTCTGTCGCACAATGTGAACATCGCACGCTGGAGTTCTGGATGAGCTGGAGAACTGGTATGACGATGGGTTGGGGCGCTTGGAAGGGGGAGCGCTGCGGTGGAGGTTCTCAAACGGGCCCAAAGATCCAGTCATCTCAAGAACAGTTTGATCAGTTTTATCGTTGTCACTTGCCCTGGAGCCCAGTGAAGTGAAGCAGGGCGGGGCGATTTGAGGAAAGTGATATCACAATTCACAAATTGTTTCAGTTGGTTATATAAAGTTATATATTATGAAATGTTAACGTTATATCTATTGAGATACCAGTAGTACCGCACAAGGCGGTGGCGGAAGTTTCAAAGATAGGACTTATAGGAGAGGTGGGTTGTTGTGATGCATGGATGGCAGAGCGAATCCACTGATGGGCCGGAAGGTGGTTTGGAGTTGTGTTTTTTGGAGTGGTCGCAATGGTTGCAGTGGTCACCTTACCCACAACTGCTGGATGTAGTGTGGTGTAGTGTAGCTGTAGTTGTAGTGTAGTGGAGCTGTAGCTGTAGTGTAATGTAATTAGTGTAGTGTAGTGGCAGTTGTAGTTGTGGTGTGGTGTGGTGTAGTGTAACGAATGCAGTGTAATGTAGTGTAGCTTAGTCGAAGGAAGTTTAGGTTAGAAGTCAAACTTCCGACAACATGGACAGATGAAAAGCAGAGATGGGAAGAGTCAGAGAGAAAAGAAGAGTAGAAGAGAGAAGATCAGAGAAGAGAAAGAGTCAGAAGAAAGAAGATGCAGATGTGCGAAAAGGTCGGAAAGTCGTGAAACACTGTGTTTTTCCAATGATTTGTGGCTCCGGAGGGTCGAAAGGTAGGCTCGCTAAAGCGAGATGAAAAATTGTACGCCGTAGTGGCGCGAAGCATAGTTCCAAGTCAAAATGCACAAATCACACCAGGTTCGGACAACTTTTGGAAGTTGAGATGCCGAAAAAGTGCACGCCGTTGTGGCGCGAAGCACATTTCGAAGTCAAAAGTGCAAAAAACTGACGGGTACGGGGCACTTTTGGACGTTCAGATGCGCTTTCGCGTGGCAGACGCAAGGGATTGTGCACCTTGTCAAAAGCGAGCAAAACCTGAGGGTTTTGTGGCATTTCCAAAAAAACGATGGCAGGCGTGAGACATTTGAAGAGGATCTGGAAAGATGCATGTCGCCTGGCAGGCGCAGTACAAGAGACATGTTCATCAGAGATGGTAGGAGGTCCGTTCGCTGATTTCCTGAGAGGGGCTGCATTTTGGAGCATCAGATCTTGAGTTTTGGGAAAATGATTTTGCGTGACAGGTGCAACACTTAGTATGACCTGGCATCACTTTTTCGTGGCAGTCGCAGTACTTTAGACAGGTGGCAATCAGCAATAAACCACTGACCCAACGAATCAACCCTAAACCAAACCGAAAGAAAACTTAAGCATATCTTAAACCAAACACTAAGCACGCCAGAAATAACACCCGAAAAAATGTTAAATAAGCATTGCGCCAACAGTACATAAATCCGGAGTAAATTTTAAGCTACCATTAAGCCCACCCAAACTAAACCCCAAATCAATTTAACTACAATTTCAATGCAGTCTTGGAACACAACCTTAAACCACATCTAAACAAAACCTTACACCAAACCTAAACCAACCCTGAACATATCTTAAAAGATAAAAAAACATTCCAAAATACTTTCTTTCACCCAAGCCGAAGCAAATCCTGGAGCAACCCTAACACCATGCTATTCGAACCAACCTAAAACTAAGTGGACTCCTAGCTAAACCGCAAACTAACCTTAAACAACAGATTGCACCAACACTAAATTCACGCCAAACAAGCGCTACACAAACACCATGTATAACCAACTTTATAAACCGACCTGGAATAACGAACCCAACCCACGATACCGATACCTTTAGCCAACCCCAAGCACACACCACAGCAGCCCCCAACCATACTTCTAGCTGAACCAACCCCAGATTGCTGCTAGCTCCAAAAATTTCCGATGGTCTTGCCTACCTTGTCTTGTCTCCTCTTTTCTCCGATTGTCTCCCCACAGTGTGCCTGTGTTGGATGGTGTCTCCGCCTTCCCGCTTTGTTGGATGGTGTGTCCGTCTTCCCTTGTCTCCCAGCTTGTCCCCCAGCTTGTCTCTCCCAAGTCTCCCAGCTAAAATTATCGCACGCCGAGAATTGCGCAGACTCTAAAGTTCACAGAGCCTCGGGATTGAGAATAATGGCATTTTTCACTTTCATCTTTCGATGTTTTCATCGCATCCAATTATTTGACAGTCCTATGCTGCTTGATTCGAGCGTTTGGATCCAAATAGTTGGACCCCCATCGGATGTTTCCTTCATCGTTTTTTGGCATCTAGCGTTGCAACAAAGCAAGCGAAGCCGAACAAAACAAACGTATATAAAGTGGTCTCCGGCACTTATTGCAGACATTTTTACCATTCCTGTCGCTGTATTTCATGTGTTCCAAATCACTTCTTGAATCCACCCACTGTTTGGGGCCTACGGTGGTGTAATTTCTGTTGGTTTTATAAAAATATATATTATGAAATATTAACGTTATATCTTATGAGATACCAGTAGTACCGCGCAAGGCGGTGCCGGAAGTTTCAAAGATAGGACGCTATAGGAGGGGTGGGTTGTTGTGATGCATGGATGGCAGCTAGCAAAATTTCCGTTGGCCATCTTATTTGCTACGAGTAGTATTCCCATATTTGTTTGGTTCGACCCGCGCGAATATTTGGATTTGGCTTTTTGAATTCTATGTTTGGTTGCCTAGTCTTCGTGCCTGCTTCTTTGGACCCGGTGTTTGATTATATTGAAACATTTAATCCCCAGCTTCGGCTGTTGACCCCCTGGCCGGCTGGCCATATCCTGTAAATTATTGCTTATTTGGAAATTTCTCCCGACAACAGGCCATTACTTCAGCTTTGTGATCAAGGAGTTTACATGCGGAGAACACTTGTGCTGGGATTATCCAGGCGCGAAAAATAGAAAAATAAAATAAATATTATTCCTTTTAAATTATTGGAGAATTCTTGAATTTGAAATTTATTTCCTATTTATGGAAAAAAAAAATATAGATATAAATAAATTACGAAAGCTAGCTGTCAAGCTTGGCTTAAGTTGCTCTTTGCGAACGAAGTGAGAATAGGGGGTCCGGGGGGCGGTCGCTTTAAAACGGACCATTTTGAGGCACTTCCCCAACTGAATAGGGTGGCCTCCGTGGTCGATTTTGAGGCTGATGTACCAGGTGGCAATTGGGTGACGGTGGGGTTCGATTCCCCCCTGGTCCGTCCAGTGACGTGTATTGGGGGCACGGAAAAACGTGCATTGGGGGCAACGGGAATGGAGGTGGAAATGAAGCAAGAACGGAGTCTTACATCGTCTACTAGTGCAGCAGCTGCTTTGCAAACTATTGATGTCTCGAACCATCGCTCCTTTTTTGTTCATAAGTACTTTGTAACCCAACTGCATGCATGCTTCAATGCCGGCCCCGATTTTGAGGTCGCCAAAACGGGTGTCTGATTCGAAAGCTTTGTAATCACATGTGTATAGTTATGTATAGCCCACAGTTTGGCAGTATTGCGGCTTGCAACCAGACAGCATTTGATATCCATCGGACGGGATTCGATGTATTCCACCAGTTTACAACATAATATCATATTATATCGTGTATAGATTATATATATGTATATATATATATATATGGATACATCTATCTATATATGCCTACAAGATGTCAATATATTTTGGGGGGGCACTAGATTTTGATCCCGACAAATATACCGAAATGAAGTTGTTATTGTGATTCTCATAATTAATTTTATTGTTATCTTGTAATAGATTATGTTTTATTTTTCGAATATTATATATATATTCAAAAGTGACCTCTACCTCCTCTTTTCGGGGAACTCATTACGCTTTTTGTCGGTTTTGAACGATGCTAAGAATTTTAAACACTTTATAAAAAGTGTTGAGAATTGATTTGCGGTCTTGTAGAGCCTAGTATGCGCGTTCGTTGCTCTTTATTCAGGAATTTCCGGTGACATGCATACATATAGATATGTATACATACATACCTACGTAGGAATGCACGCACGTACGTACATACATACGTACCTACATACCTACCTACATACATACATACAGAGAGACAGCCAGATAGACAAACTGACAGACATACGTACATACATACATACATACAGAGAGACAGCCAGATAGA